AAACATGATAATTATTTTTTTTTGCTCAGGGTATTTACATTGCGTGATCTTGACAAGCTTGCAGTATCTTTGTGAGAGTAAGTAGTTATATGTTGGTTACCGTATTTTCCTAAAGATAAATAGTTACATATGCATACAAAAATAAATGAACTGGACACTAGGGCTGGGCAGGAAAGGACCATTTTTATTTTATCTTATTCGGGTAGAAATTTCTACTTAATACTGTTTTTAATATGACAAATGGGTAGTTTATTTGCTCAGTCTTTTATCATGTACATGTGGACATTGTGCAGCTGGCTGTTATTAAAAGTGCCCATGTGGATGTGGATTTGACTTAGAACTGAATTTGTTTTTGTTATTTCGCTACAGAAGAAAAAAATGGAGATAAATGCTGTGTATTGAAAATGATCAGAATATGATATAACATCATTTTGGTCCATGTCGCCCAGCCCTACTGGAGATGATCTGTGCATTGAAGGTCAGAAACATAATACACTTCAATAGGAACATAAGAGATGTTTTAGTCTGGGTATAAGATGAATCCGGAGAAGGTGCTGTATTTGTTGTTGTTGCCTCCATGAGCCTTTCCCCCGTCCAGCTTGACGTAGATCTCATCTCCAGAGTCCAAGTGGAGCACAGCGCTGTTGCTGGCGTAGTCATAGTTCTGATCCGCGTCCTGAGCTATGGCACTGGCCCGGACCTGCATGGGAGGATAAAAGGGGACAAAACCAAAGCCTTAAAAAATATATATTCCTGTAAACTAAGTGATTAAATTACATTTGTTTTGTGACTATGAGCAGGCTTTATGGTCTTCACTCTCCCTGCATACCTGTCCGTTTTTGCACAGGTCCGCCCACATGCTGGTCCCGTCTCCTCCCCGCATCAACACATGGTAGGTGAAAAAGTAGATCCCGGACACATGGCAGGTGAACTTCCCGGTGCCGGCGTCGTAGTGGTTCCCCAAGTTTGTGATCACGTCGTCAAACTTCAACACCTCGTATCCCTCATGTGGGTTCTTAAGACCGACGTAGAATGCGATTCTGAAGTTGTGCGTCGTGGTGTTCACACCGTCCATCTCAGCACCCACAGCTCCTGTTAACGCTGGGAAGGCGAGTTTACCGTCTCCGCGCCCTCCCGGTGGCCCCCGAGGACCCGGCGGTCCCGGGTCTCCCTGTCGCCCCCTAGGTCCCGGTTTGCCAGGTCGCCCCGGCTCACCGCGGCTCCCGTGCGCCAACGGCGGCTGCGGTTCTACACCGTTCATGTTCTGGATCACCTCCATGGCGCTGGCGCCTCCCGGTTTGGGGGTGTAAGGGTCGCAGACCATGCGACAGGTGCCCATCATCTCGAAGTAATGAGCGGAGGTCTCGGAGGGTCGGAGCAGCAGAAACGGGACGGCGACGGCCAGAGCCAGCAAATCCATCCCTGACCTCTTCCTCGGAGAGGAGATTCGCTTTCTGGAGGGGGGTTGTGACACAGGAGGGGGGCTTGCAGGACCACTAAAAGAAGAGATGAAGTTAGTTACGCATTACGCATAACCCAGGTGCTCTTACTGGTGGTTCCGAGGCTCTCTGGGTAGCCGATAGATGGATGGTTGAGCGCGCTCGGACAGCTGCATCCAGCTGCAGCCAGATGTCAAAGTCAGCGAAGACAAGACCGGAACAGGAGGGATTTGGCCTTCAAATTAAAACGGTAGGTTCTAAATTATTTGTGTTTGCAAATGAATATAAAAAGGTAAAAGACAGACTCATGTAGAATTATAGTTCTAATGACACGATTTGCTGTGTGTATTTGTCTTTCCAAGTTATTGCCTATACCAGGAGTAGGATTAAAAGGCACAAAAAAATGAGAATCTCAAATGTTTTATTTTTTAAAATTTAACAGGAGCGCAATTGCTTCCGGCCGAGCACACGGTCGGTGCGGTGCGTAAAGTTAAGATCTGCGGATTTGTTTTTTCAAAATATCACAGCCTTTTACACTTGAATTGATTGATTTTTGCATGTAGGATCACATTTCACAACGCCGGATCATTGATTATTCTTTAAAAAAAAAGATCGGCGGTTGTCTTTTTAAAATGTGAATTACAGTCAGCGAAATCTAAGTCTATGTAACATGTCACCACGTGACATATCCATTCATTATCCTCTTCGAATAATGTTTTTTTCCCCCTCTGAAGTAGATCTGATTGTTTTTTTTTCTATTAATAAGTGTTAAGAAGTTTTAATTTGAAAATCTTCAGCGGCGCTGCATTGTTTTCAGAACCAACTTGACAAAAAAGTGGTTCTAAAATCAGTTTAGAACTTTTGAGAACAGCTAACTTCATAACTATGAGGAGGGGTCTTTTGAAAGTCAGAACCGATGGGCTGAATCTGAATGCAGGCAGGCTCGCGGGGGGGGGGGGACATCAAATGACCGACATCATGGTCACTTTACAAACACACACACATGCAGACATGAGGGTGGGGGGGTCTGATGAAGAAACGAGCAGATAATATATGCAGGAAATGGACCAGAGATGTCGTGACTGCTGTCGACACCTTCAGCTCTTAGCTCAGACATATTTGATGTCTTGTTTCAGGAGGAGGAGGAGAGGCACAGGCCTTGAATTTCGATTCTGTGAGTTAAAATTCTGGAGGGTGTGCAGACAATCATGACTCTAATGCATACAGATTTGTCTTAAGTGCCTCTTTAGCCTCTTTGCACTTGTTCTGTCAGTGAGGTTTATAAATTCATCAAGCTGTTTGAGGCTATCATTAAGATCTTTTATCAAACTTTTTAGGCATGCCTTTGCTCACTGAAAATAAAAGCGTCTCTTGATTTTTTTTTTTTTTCTGTCCTCAGAAACAAAAATTCCCCAGATGGACCCTAACTGAAATACTTCAAAACCCGGGTTAGGTGCTAAGCACCTGGAATTGGAAGCACGGGCCCCCACATCCACAACAGAGGCTTTAGAGCTCAAGGCGATGTCGAGAAATCTTCAAGAGGCACTAGGGACAAGGCTTATAGCTGAAGCACACTACGGTCAAACAGCATGCACACTGACACACACACACACAAACACACAAACCCCTACAGGCAGCGTGTGCTCAGCTCTGCTTTAACTCCCAAGAAACATGGCTGCAGCTGGGTGTCTCATATCTGAAGGTGAGAGAGGATTCCTGTGAGGGTGGTCAAAAATTCAAAAGATATGAGACACTGACAAAGCTTGAAATATTCTGTTATATTTTGAATTTTACTGCTCTTTGGAATAAGAAAATAACTCTATGCTCTCTGACAACACAACTGCAGAAACGACCTCTACTTGGGATTAGTGCATTGAACTGTACCTCTAGGCTATTATGAGCCATGTACCACACACATTGTCCACATTGTGCACTCCAGTTGCTGAGATTATCCTTCCCCCGCAGTCCTGTAGGCATACTTCTAAACACACTGCATATTCATACAAATGACCCACACGGTCAGACAAATGAATCAGACTAACATCAGATCTTAAACTGTACGCATGAAGGTAAACACTGAAACAAAGGGACAGTTGTACAAGTGTTTTGTTTTTTTCTGTGCAGGACCATCACTGAGCTAAGGCAGCGATGACATCCTGCAACATCAGCAGCGTCTGTCATACTAAGTGACCCTAATCCTTAAAGCACAGAAACAAACGTCTTTCTCTGTTCACCATTAGACAGTGAAGTCTGTCACATGTTAATGTAGCTGTAACTCAGGCTAACCATTCATGACCATGCCTTTTCTTCTCGGCCATGATATTCCCTTTGCCATCCCATTCAAAATACTTCACCCCCCCTATCAATAGGACCAATCATTTGTACATAATTCAACAACTAGTAGCTTTTTGCTGTTCTGGGGTTTCTTTCCTTTGCTTATGTTAAAGGAAGAATATGTGATTTTTCACACTTAAATGTAATATAAATCAAGTATATCCTCTGAAAATAACTCTGTGAGTCATGACTGTCTACAATGAGTGTGACACCCGAGTCCCACTATCTGTGATGTTTTCTGAGCCGTATCTACACTTTGTTTACATCGCCTGGATGGCCGGCTGACTCCTCCCCTTGCGTATAAAAGTTGTTTAATTGAGGGACTAGAGAAAAGAAGAATAACATACTGTACTCACTGCTTAACTGTGTTTCTAGATCACGCTCATTTCAGGTAAATTTACATGCAGTGTGAAGATATGAGCATAATAAAGATCACTAGCATTAGCATGCTAACACAACAATGCAGCGCCAGTTGTTTGGGTTTCATGCTGGTGCTGTCAGCTTCTAGCTCCTTCTGCTATCTAAAAACACAATTAGAACATTAAAATACTGGAGGAAACTGATGCCACTGGTTAATTCCAGGTCAATTTTAGAGAGAGTATTCAAATAAACAATTTTTAGATCAGCCCGTCTGACTCTAAAGATTTGTGCACACTGGGCGACATAAGAAACTGATAGTTATGAAAAAAACATCTCAAAAGGAGATTATGTCTGTCAAACACTGTGTCCTACAAGTTCTGTTAACAAGTGAGGCTGTGGTCTTGAAGGAGTGAAACAGAGAGTGGCATGGGAAGCTCTGTGTGATGCAGCGCTGCGAGCAAAGGGATTCAACCTTTAGCAAGTGGCAAAGGCAGGCTTGATGAAGTCATACTGACAGTGACTAGCCTCTGGTCGGATATCCTTTAACATGATTTTGACTTTGCTTTTTATTTATATCCCGTGGTAAGCTGATCAGATACACTAAATTCAGGAGTTACAAGTGGAGCAAAAGGGTAAAACAACAAGGAAAGGAAAATAGCCCTTTGGTAATGAACTACATGAAAAAAAAACACTTTTCTATCAGTTATATGGTGCAATCTTAATTTTTAGAAAGAGACAGTTATGGTTTGGCTTTAGAATTTCTGGAAAACGTGCTTTTTTTTGTAGCTTTTGAGGAGCCACAGTAGGGCTCTCTCTTTTCATTATCTCACTCACACACGTGGAGGCGTGGCTAGGGAGTGGCTTGAGCGCTGCGCGTCATCTTATCAGGAAGAGACGCCTCACTTCCAGAGAGCGGAGTAAGAAGCAATGTGAGTACACGACAAGTAAAAAATATCGCTAAAAGGTTAAAGAAAGGCTAAATGGTGTAACTTAAGCTTCTTTTTTTTTTTTTTTTTAATTCAACCAAACTAGTATTTGTTCTGCCTCGTCGTGTGTTGTCACGTAGTGAAAGTTTCCAAGGACAACAAGGTGTCTTCAAACTGCTTTTCTGCTGTCAAGCGAATATCAAGTTTCTAGTAATTTAATATTATTAGGAGATATTAAATAATGTTTTGAACAACACATTCGTCATTCGTCGTGTTGAGTTACAGTCAGCGGTTAACTCTGTGATAACTTAACTTTTTACAGTTTCCGCTAAACCACAGGTTAAGTCGAGTTACACGAAGAAAACTAAATTTGAATGGCAGCCATGTTTTAAATCCGTTATCTTATATTCTTCATTTCATTAGCTTGCTGGAAAGATAGTTGGAGTTACAAGTGTCTGTTAATTTGTCCCGTTTCCACCGGAGGGACTATATGTGTTTCCACCAGATCTACCAGGGTAGAAATGTAGTTCTTGGGGTAGAAATGTAGTTCTTGGGGTAGAAATGTAGTTCTTAGGTAGAAGTCTGCCCCTAAAAAAAACCCTACTAGGGGTTTTGTACTTTCTAAAGGTCCAGGGACTTTTGACAGCAGGGCATGCAGCCCCCCTGCAGAGCTGGATGTCTCTGATTGGTCAGGCAGCAAGGTGTAAGATCACCTACTGTGTTTAAAGACTGAAGCTGTTAACCCATTGTTTTTACCCTACATTTATTTATAATCAAAGTCTGACTTACACTTATAAAAAAGTACAAAACACACTTTTCAGACTAAGCATTAAAGAAAAAATGAACTGCAAACAACAGGAGAAGAAGAGTCAGGTTTAATCTGGAATTAAAACCTTTATAACTTTTTTATCTGTTCTACTTGTTTAGTTTTTATTTAAGTGTATTTTAAGTTATTCAGTCATTTATGAAGATAAAACAAACTTGCTTTGACTTCTATAGAAAGAATCTTCATGTATTGTACTTTTTTATGTTTTATTCTCCATTAAAAAACACTGAAGAAGAAATCCAGTTTCAAAATGCCTCCCTACACAGATCTTGTGAATTAAGAATAAAAAAATCAGTTGATCTAAAGTTTAAATGTCAAAATCACTAAATATACATTATCTTTAAGAAATGAATTACAGGAGTTAATATAATTTATCTTTCTAAAAAGGTGTTTCTTAGGGAGTTTGGTGAGGGGAGGGGAGTTAGGTATTTTATTAGAGTCCTCTTTCCTTTAATGAAACTCTAAACACAGCACTCGTCTCCTTTCCATTTTTGATCAATGAAACCATTTGTTATGAACTGCGGTGGAAACGCAGACAACTATGGGCAACAGGAACCTTTCCTGGTTCCTCAACCTTTTAGTTCTGCGGACAAATTATTTGGATACTTCCTTGATACAAACTTTCCTTAATCTGTATTTTTCTACACCTTTTCTTTTTTCTTACATTTTAGGCTCCATGCTGGATGATCAACAAGTCTCTGAGATTTCAACATAACAATCATTGTAAGAAAATACATCAACTGTTGATTATAGGTTATAACCTGTAAAGTGAATATGTATGTTACCAAAATAAGATATTGAAACTTGCTGTTTCTCAACAGTTTGTCAGCGTAATATGCCTGACGACATGGCGAGGCCATTAATCCGTAGCAGAGGTGAAGGATCAGGGTGCAGACATCTGGAAGCGTCCGTGGCTGAAGCAGACGCTCCAGTGATCGGCGTTCTGGGCACGGGGGACTTCTCACGCTCGCTGGCGAGGAGGTTGGTGGCGTCTGGCTACCAAGTTGTGGTGGGGAGTCGAACCCCCAAACGCTCTGCGGCATTGTTCCCTGAAGAGGCGGAGGTGAGACACTAACAGTGTAATTGGTGTTTATGGTGATAGTTATATATTTACTGAGATTCAGTCCACTAACTATAATAACTGTTATTATCCAAAACACACATCCAACAGATCCTCTTAGTTTAGAGAAGAGAGAATGAGAACATAACAAAGCAGGTTATTCACCATCATCAAGAGATCCTTCACAGTGTCTTCATAACAATGTGTTTTTCAACAGAAATGTATTATGAGAACGTAGGAGAGAGAGATGGAGGGAGAGATGAAGGGAGAGAGGGAGGGAGACAGAGGGAGAGAGAGAGAGAGAGATGGAGGGAGAGAGAGGGGGAGAGATGAAGGGAGAGAGGTAGAGAGGGAGGGAGACACAGGGAGAGAGAGAGAGATGGAGGGAGAGAGGGGGAGAGATGGAGGGAGAGGAGAGAGAGAGAGAGAGAGATGGAGAGAAGGAGACAGACAGACAGACAGAGAGGGGGAGAGATGGAGGGAGAGGAGAGAGAAGGAGAGAGAGAGAGAGAGAGAGAGAGAGAGAGATGCACTAACCACTAAGCCACTGGCACCGAATGTCTTCAAATCTTTTTATCAATACATTGCTAACAATTTGAATGAAAATTAAATTAACTCAATTTCAATCAGCAGACCAAAACTACGGTGGCTGCGAAGTGCAAACCAAAATTACAAGATGTGAAACACTTTGACGAGCGCTGAGACATATTTACAAACGAAAGAATCCTGCCGGAAAGTTAATGTACGGCCAAGAACAGATAACTGACTGCTCACTGAGTCACTTCCGGGTCAATTACTGCATTTGGTACATTCTCAGAAATGCATGAGGTATCAATATTCCCATCAAGCCTCCTGCTTATGTTTCCAAAACTTCTCATACTTAACATTGCAATGACAAATAATAAAGCAGATTAAGGTACACATCTGGATAATAAAAGAGAGATTTCTAAAATGAGGGCTTTAATTAGTCTTTAGACAAATGATTGGAGCTTTATCATTTGTGTGTTTTTTGTTTTTTCAGGTGACCTCCCAGATGGAGGCAGCCAGTCAGGCAGACCTGGTCTTTGTCGCCGTGTTCCCCGAGCACCACTCCACACTGCTGCAGCTGAAGCCGGCGCTGGCTGGAAAGACGCTGGTGGACGTCAGCAACGGTTTGAGAATCAACCGAGACGAGCCCTCCAACGCCGAACAGCTGGCCGACCTGTTTCCAGAGAGTTCTGTGGTCAAAGGGTTTAACACCATATCAGCCTGGACGCTCCAGACAGGACCTCGGGATGGGAGCAGGCAGGTGGGAAACAAGTCTCACCTTTTAATCTAAGACTGTTAAGGAATTGTGTTTGGAAGCCCTAAACTTATACCTAATATATCTTTATTTTAAACATTTCCTTCAAGGTTTTCCTGTGCAGTAACAGCAGCACAGCCAAGCACACAGTGATGCAGCTCTGTCGCAGAATAGGCTTCGTCCCCGTCGACATGGGCCTCCTCTCCTCCTCCAGGAACGTTGAAAACCTTCCCCTTTATTTATTCCCCTGCTGGCGCATCCCCATCTTCTGCACCCTGTCCCTGTTCGCATTCTTCTACCTGTACAACTTCACCCGGGATGTCCTGCAGCCCTACATAACCGCAAAGAAGAATGTTTTCTACAAAATGCCCGTCGAGACTGTGAACGTCTCTCTCCCCTCTGTTGCCTTGGTGATGCTCGCGCTGGTCTACCTGCCGGGCGTCATTGCCGCTTTCCTGCAGCTGTGGTGGGGCACCAAGTACAAGCGCTTCCCAAAGTGGTTGGACCGATGGCTGACTGGGAGGAAGCAGCTCGGGTTGTGTAGCTTCCTGTGTGCTGTCCTGCATGCCGTCTACAGTCTGTGTCTCCCCATGAGGAAGTCTGCCCGCTACAAACTCATCAACCTCGCTTTCAAACAGGTGAGGGAATTAGCGCCACAATTTTAATATAAATAAATAAAGTTTTTGTTACAATAACCTTGACCTCTTTGCAGCATCTCGTCCTGGTAGCGAGTAGTGTTTGATATATGACCATCTTGGATCACATGTTGTGTGTGTTCTCCAGGTCACTAACAAGGTGGAGTACTCGTGGGTGGAAAAGGAGGTGTGGAGGATGGAGTTGTACCTCTCAGCGGGCATCATGGCCCTGGGGCTGCTCTCCTTGCTGGCGGTCACTTCACTGCCCTCAGTGTCCAACACGGTCAACTGGAGAGAGTTCAGCTTCATACAGGTACGCTCACATGCAGGTGTTATTGTACTGAAACTTGCCCTTTTTTTTCTTAAAAAATTTTTTTCTTAAAAAAATGCACACTGCCAAAAGGTTTTGTATTCTTTTAGATAGAGCCAGGCTGGATTAACACAGAATGATTACCAGAGATTGACAGTCCAGACACTTTGGCACATTTACACCGAGGCTTCAAACTAATGTGCAGACAGATTTGGGCTATTTCTCCAAGACTGTATACACACACACACACACACACACACAAGTGTCTGCACTCCTCCATCTGCCCCAGACTATGACAAAGCCATCAGGGGTGTTGTGACTCAGTATACACACACTTCCTCCTCTCCTCTCCTCTCCTCTCCTCCTCTCCTTCCTCTCTTCTCCCCTCCTCTCCTTCCACTCTTTTCCTCTCCTCTCCTCTCCTCTCATCTCCTCTCCCCCTCTCCTCTCCCCTCCCCTCCCCTCTCCTCCTCTCCTCTCCTGCTTGAATTCCCCCCTTTTTTTTTGTCTGACTTGTGACCCGTCTTTGCTGCCTTTTTCCTTTGATCCTTCTATTAAAACTAATCCGCTGGTCGTCTGGTTAGTCATGTGCCCACAGCAGTGGGAAGAAGGCAACTCTCACCCTCGTACATGTAGACATTCTGCAGGATGTGTTTTGTCTTACGGGCTGCCCTCTCAGTGGTAGAGTCAGTCGTCTCTCAACCGAAAGGTCGGAGGTTCGATCCCCAGCCACATGTCTGATGTGTCCTCGGGCAAGACACTTAACCCCAAGTTGCTCCCAAGTTGATCCATGTGTGTGGAAGAAGTTGTGTATTAATAGTTTTTTGTAGATGTGTGTTTGTATACATGTTGGTGAAGGCAAGAAAAAGAAAATGACCTCTGCAACCTGAACTCTTCTGAAATAATGATTGAGAATTGATTGATTACTGTCTCCATTAAAAAGTTTTTTCTAAGACCTGACATCATAAGGGTCTGTGTCCACAGACAGTGTTTTTTTTTTCCACTGGCAGCGCTAGTTTTCAATACAAAACTTTGCACTCTGAGATTAAAACAGCTCAACTTTTTGAACAGCGCCACGTTCATCAATTTCACTTCTCCCTCACCAACCAATCAGAATCAAGACAGGGCAGGACTTACAACAACAGGCTTTTTTAATCGTCTTTTCCCAGTGTTGAGCTGCTGCTGATGTCTGGACATCGTTGTACATTGTCTTCATGTTTTCTTGGTGATATTTCCTTAAATTAGAGGAAATATTAACAACACAGAGCTATCTTAAACACATCTGACAGACATTACCGAGGGAAGCAGAAGTTAACTTTTGTAACCTAGCAACAATGAGCGCTGGTGAGCGCCGTTACTCTTAAAGTAAATTAAACTGATGGATGAGGGTTAATCACCACACAAAGAAGAGTCGCATTGCAGAAGCAAAATGACATGATGGAGCTACATGTGTGCAGCTAGTACAGTAACACAGATTGTTCATTTGATAACATGAACATTTGTTAATCTGCAGTTTTTTTAAATCCAGACTTCTTGACTATTTTACATTCCTGAGTTTGAAAATCACTCATCTACTTTATTTTCAAATGAAACTGTCAGTCATATGTGGGGAGCGTACAATATTACAAATTCTAACCACACCCCCTTATATAACTTTCTGTAGTCCACACTAGGTTACACCGCCTTGATCATGGCCACCCTCCACACACTCCTCTATGGCTGGGACCACGCCTTCGATCCAGCCCAGTACCGCTTCAACCTGCCTCCTACGTTCATGCTGGTCCTGATTCTTCCCGCCGTGGTCCTCCTGGGTCGCCTGGCTCTGTTGGTGCCCTGCGTGGCTCGCCGACTGAGACAGATCCGCCGTGGCTGGGAGAAGAGCCGACACATCCGCTTCATCCTGCCGGAGGACGTCTGCCACAACGGGCTGGAGGACGTCAGTAATGTTTGAGAAACACACCAAAAAAGTGTATTTTATGTTCATGGAAATCAACACAATTTAACAACCTGCACACACTTCAAAGAAACACCCACCTAAGCCCAAAAAGTAATGACTCCTTGGAATTAGAGCCCGACCGATTTTTTTTTTTAGGAGGCCGACCAAGAGCTCATGTGAAGAGTATTTTCTTGGATTTGAAGCTGTACAACTGAATTTTACATAAACTCATAATTGAAAGATTTACACTGTGATTGGCAAAAAATGAACGTTGGCCTTGTCTGATGCGTTCCTATCAGTTAAAGGTTTGAATGCTCCTCAGATTACTGCACGTGCATGTATTTATAAGCAAGATCGAACAAGTAGTTTTATAGCTTGTTTTGTCCACACGTTTAAGGTAAAACAACATGGTATCTTAATCTGATTTTTGTGAAGTCAGTCTCATTTAAATTTGTCTATTTTTTACAATTGAAAGTTGATATGTTATCAATCAGCATTATTTTTTTCTGGACTGAGATTTGATTTACTTTTGTTGTATTGATCAGCAAATGTTAATGTTTAAACCAAGAGCTGCTAAATGCTAAAGTACAGTTGAGTTCTGTACATGTACTGGGAAACGTTCTGCTGCAGAAGCTGCCACACATTGTGTCACATCATTTAAAAGGAATAACCCATTGGTGTATTTTTTCTTAAATGGCAACTTTACGTGGATTTTGTATTCTTTACACACTGGTACTGAGGTGACTGATGGAGCCAGACTGCTGAAGGACATCTTCGTTCTTTTCATTATTAACAAGAACAGACCAGTTTGCTTTGGTTTTTATGGTCTAAGATGGTTTTGTGTTTTGTTAATAAGGATTTATTTTTAAGTTTAAGGCCTATGTTTTCTGTGCCAAACGTTGATTCTTTGTTTTGTGATTTTTCTAATCTTAAAAAGTCATGTTAGTGCCCTGACACAAAGAAAACAATGTTCACTTATCAAATGTAAATCAAAGAAGAAAGTTATTTTCTCAAATGTATTTATTTGTTGGATAATTAAAAAAAAGCGTTTTGCAGATATGAGGCTTATTTAGATATCCATATTCATGCTTGCATGCGTTATTTAAAGGCTCACAACAGTTAAAAGATGTCATTAAAGATCAATCTACTCACATTGTTGAAAAATAATGAGCACAGCAGAACGTAATACGCGCAGGTGCTGCCATCTTGTGGTGACTTCATGAACTTTCTCTGATTTTTCTAAACAGAAATTCACGTTTTCTTGAGACTCTTCCACAGGAAATTATGGAAGTTTTATTTAATCCTTAAAATCTACCGGTGTTTTTCATTCTTCTGGGCTTAATTCAAACTCAATAATCAAAAGTATTAAACGTTTTATTTTTTACATACAATGCCAAACTCTTCTGGTGCCGTATTAAGAGTAAAATAATTACTGATGGTTTGGCTTTAATACAAAACTACCACCCGTTGTATTTTTTCCCAGCAGAGCCTAAAGGCTACATGAGTGCAGGACCAGTTGTTCCTGCTGTGAACTGCGAAGTGACAAGCCACAAGGTGTGTCTGTTGCTCACGAGTAGTCATGGCTGTAAGTACTCCTTTTTTTTAATTTAAGATAACAGTTTATACTTATAAAAAAAAATCTTATCACAACTGTTATCCAGATTCAGCGGGACAGTAGAGGTTTAATGTGGAGGCCTGCGGTTTGGTATTAATATCCGGGCATTATTACGTCCGTTGACTGAACCACTATCATGTTTTTAAAGTTTTTTGGGGGGCCATTTGTTTTCTGCCTTTATCAGAAAGGACAGCTGAAGAGAGACTTGAAATGCTAAAGAGGAGAGAGTAAGGGGATTAAATTCAGCAAAGGGCCGAGGTCGGACTCGAACCGACGCTCAGTGCGACGACTTCAGCCTCCGTAGGCCTACGCGACACACACCTGCTAGTTTAACCGGCTTTTTAAAATATTTTTGTAATTTAAAGTGGGACTCGTCTGTAATTACAAAACAATTAAACGTTTTTTCTTTACAAAGACTCTGTAACAGCGCTGTATCCTACACAGGGTTCATTTGAAAAAGCAGTGGAGGAGGTGAAGATCCTGAAAACAAAGCCACACTACGGAGAGATCGCAGAGATTTACGGCTTATACAAACAAGCTACCGTCGGTGACGTCAACATATGTGAGTCAAGATTTTTTAAATATTATTTTATTAATTCATTCATAAGTAAAAACTAACGTCAAGTCATCCCAGGTATGTTTACAAGACTTTCGTTAGGGTGGGGTTTAAAAAAAAAAAAAAAAAGAGGTCTGACAGGTTGTGTCATTCTGTGAAAGATGCCCGACCTGATGAGTTTCGCTGTATTTAATTGTTTACTCTTAAAAACAGGAAGTATACTGCTCGAATATTCTTTCTTTCTTTTTTTTAAATATAATTTTTTAAATTCTTAAACACAGTTTTTGATGATTATATTTCAATCCTTTAGCCTATAGGTTAATGTTCCAAAACAGCGCTTACATTTTTTTTTACTACACCGTGGTTTATGTCTCCAGTTGAACACCTGCTTATTTCTAATCAGCTGGAATCAACAATGGTGAAATTAAAATAGACTACTTTTTTTTGCTTCAGCAGCTGTTACACACTTCATTTTTGAGCTAGAGTTCCCAAACTTATACCCACATTTGTTTCATTCAAATGGAACCAATTCCAACCTGTTTGTGTTCCCCTGCATGTTTTACAACCTACCCTACTATCGGGTGAGGTTGCAGGACTTTCAGGGCAATTAGTAACAATAGAAGCCAAAACTGAGGCCACGCCATGAACAATAAATCAAAACGATGTCTGTCTCTGTGCGTGATCAAACCGCATATCCACCTTGTGTTTTCTTAATGGTTTGTATGCATATTGAATATGTTTCTACAAAGTACCTGTGCAAACAACACAAAGGTATAATTACAAAAAAGATTTTCCCTAAATTAAATGTGCAAAACTTTTATTTTCTATCTTGGTGGCCTCTGTTAGCTGTACCCTAAGGCCTGTATGACCATGCAGGATTGGTGGTTAATGGTTATGTAGGCAATCTCAGGGTTAACTCTCAGTTATTTGACAGTGGTTCACTTTGTACCCAGTTTATCAACATAATGTTTAAGACACATAGTAGAGAGTATTTGAACTAAATATCTGTTTTTAATTGTCATCCCAAGATACATTTGTCCTGTCTTGAAACCAATTTTAAAAGTTTTTAAAAGCTGAAGCACAAAGGGATGCTGTCCTTAAAATTGAGAGCATTTTAAAATGTCATACTGTATCATACTTTATGCTAGGAAATTGTTCTGAAATTATTTTTTAATTCCCAGAATAAAATGTTGTGTTTTCAAGTAGTTTGACGTTTCCTTGAAGAAAAATCATTTGTTACCTGTTGCATCGCCAGAATAACAATTTATTTTTACATCCTCAGCGCGTCCGGGGATTTTTGACTTCCCAGGACAGAAAAAGTGGGATGCATGGAATTGCAAAAAAGGTACATTTGTATATAACTCTGAAATGAATAATAAAATAAATCAGCCTGAGATCGAATAAATATAGGCCTTTACATTTTGTTCAAAGGGAAAGATGTTTGTTTATATATATATATGGCAAAAATATAAACGGTATTATCTTATGTTTGCGCTACCATATTTGTGTTAGGATATGTATCTGTGTATAGATCTGTATCTGTATAAATCCCCTCATTGTTTCTATTTCTACAACAACAGGTCTGTCCAAAGATGAAGCCATGGCTGCATATGTTGTTTGGGTGGAGAACCTGAAGAAAAAATATGGTATATAGGGTCTATTTGTCAGAAATGCATTGTACAGTATCAATAAAGCTTTGCTATACACCATTAGTCATTTATTTCACATGCTGCTGCTTCTTTCTATCTAAAAGAGGACATTGTATACAGTCCCCTGTGGTCTAAATCAAACATCTGTTTCCAGAGGAGATTTGTGACCCAGCTCTCTCAGAACACTCCGTTTTGGTGTATGTCTCTTTAAATCCAGTGGGTGTTGGACTGCCTGTAGAGCAGGGCAGCAGTGTGACCTGTGTGTGAGGTGCAGCACTGTGGCTGATGGAGCCGCGGTGCTGCCTGCGCCGACTGGGGAGGTGTTGAGTCAACTTCCACCTCCTCCATCTGCGCTGAAACTCATGCTGCACCTGGAAAAGTACAAGTCTAGATTGCTTTTCATCTCAAATTCAGAGCCTTCATTTAAGCCTTTTGCTAACCCGTTCTTACCTCTCCATTCATGAAGCAGTAGAGCACAGCAACCACAAAACCCTTAGAGGACAAAAATAACATTTATAGGGCTTTTGCACTTGCAGAAATCTCCTGAAAAATTCCTGATATTTGCAGGAGGAGCTGTATGTGTGAACATAATCAGCCACATTTTTCACTCTTACTTTACCTGTGTGGATGACAGAGCCAGCTCCGCAAAGGTCCATATCAGAAACACTGAGCTGCTCACTTCAACAGGTAAGAAAACAAACAGGATGTAATGCAGACCAAAGAGAGCCACCAGAAAGAATGTGGACTTGATCAGCCTCCTGTAGAATAAAAAAAGCATGTATCATTTATAACTATGTCCAAAGTTAAAGGTCACGTGTCCCTTGTGTGTCAACAAACCCCCCAATTATGAAAAAAGTCCATCCTCTCTGTCTTTTCCCTGCTCCACTTTTCAGAAAATGTGTGCTCAAACAGGCCGTTTGGAGATTTTCCCTTCATGACATCACAAAGAGCAGTAGCCCCTCCCCCAGGTGGGTGACACTCCCACAGCTAGGTGTTTGCTCTGCCCTTTTGAGTCTGCCTTCTGACTTCACAGACATGTGTTGGGGAGCTTTGATACTTCTTTAAACTTGTTGAAAATGAGAACTGAACTGTACCATGGAAACATTGGATCTGTAGCTGCGGGATGGCCGACTCTACCACTGCCAAAGCCCCACAAAATCACAAATCCAAAACCAGCCCAAACTTTGCACGTTAACCGCAGTAGAACAAGAGAACACCGGTGTGATAAATACTCACTTATACTGGCTGAATTCATTCCACTGAGCATCTGGCATTCGGAGTTTGCTCATCAGTATCCTCAAAATTCCCAAGAAAAAGGCGAGATTGACCTGTAATTATGGAAAACCTCAGAACCTCGTTTATTCCTAATTTTTTTGCCAAGAGACAGGTGAAAATATTAATTTTTAAAAGTTTTATCAACAAATTTATTTGGTATTCAGATTGATCATAATTGGGCCAATGCAACCCCCTGGCCACCCTTCCAGACACACCCCTGGCAGAATAGGGTTTACCCAACCAGACTGCTTGGTGGAAACACGGCTATAGAGAACAAATCATATGACTTTTTTTTGTAGGCCAACCTGGAACTAGCATCCCCATGGGGTCTAACGAGAATTCTCCTATGGGATTTTTGCATTGGATTTTGGATCACTGCAGAAATCCCAGTGTATGCTAAGCTTTATATTTAATGGCAGACAAATTTGCGGTATCATTTCTTATCATCTAACTCTTGGCAAGAAGGTTAATAAATGTATTTTATGTTAAAAAAAAGAGCAGTTGTTTTTTTTTACAGATATTGTCAGAAGAACAGGCACCCGAAGTATCCACCAAATCCATTCATGTCTCCTAGATTCCCAACAGCTTGGGCAAAAAAAGAAGAAGAAAGAATTGAATCAGATCATCTACATAAGCTTGTAACATTAAATAAATGAGTGAAGAACCCTTACCCTTCATCTTCATAAAAGTACTTGGAACAACCCCAGGAGACGATAACAACCACAGGTAACCCTGTATCATAAAGGAGTTTTGGTTTAAAGGCCCACAGTTATTATTTACTACACTAAGTGTTGTTTAAGAGTAAAAGTCTTCCTACCCCAGCTCAGAGCGATGTACCAGGCCAGGTGTTTCTTCAGGGAGAAGAAGGAGCGGCTCACCAGAGTGAAGAGAAAGTGACCCTCAGCCAGCTGCCAGCTGTAGTTTGCCAGGATGGAGTAGTTGGAAAATATCACCACGACCTTACATGCCACCTGCCAACAAAGGAATGAAGGCGACTTAATCAGGCACTCTTAAAGGAAGAATATGCTACTTTTTGATCCAGCAGATGTCACCCTTGAGCACCAGCATGAAACCAAAACAACTCCCGCTGCATTGTATCTTTAGTTAGCTCGTAGCTTCACACTGCATGTAAATTTACACAAAATGAGGTGTACAACAATCTAATAATGGGGATTCTTTACACATTCTTTACACAAACTGAAAAGATTCCCCCCATGCTACATGGCCAATAGATCTAAGAAAGATATCGGCTGATTTATGAGTGTCCGATTTTTTTCTCCCCAATAGCGTTATCGGTATTGGCCCCAAAAATCTCATATCGGTCAGGCCCTGGTAATTTGTGAAGGAACACAGCTGATGAGGGTAAGGGCTTTTCCGCTGTTTAAAAAAAAGATGTAAATTGTGTGTATTCATGCATACCGCGTAGTCACAATGGTAGAGCTCTTCATTAGTGAATAGCAGAGAGTCCCTGATGAAGATGAAGACGGCTCTCAGGATGAAAGAGATAAACATCTGGATGTGAATGTAGTTCCTGGTACAATGAAGCTTTCTGAAGAAATATGAACATTCAAAGTTACTGAATCTGTTTTCATGGTTTTACTTTCTCAAATATCTTGGATGGTTGAAAGTGATTGAAAGGGATGATAAAATAAAAAAACATTGCAAACCTGAACAGACAGAATATAGTGATAGCGATGGTGAGAGAGATGAGAGAGAGAGTATATCCTGCTGTGTACATGGTCTTCACGTAGGAGAAGTACAAATGATAATCTGAGGACTACAAGTGAAAGAGAACAGTTCTTAATCACCTATGAAACAGACTGATTTCACAATAGAAAGTGAAAGTATACATAGTGTATGTTACTACTACTACTATTACTACTGTAGCTTTCTTCTTATATTGCATTTCTGTAAATATGTTTGTTTTTAACTTTTGGCTCATCTTTGCTGATTCTACTCCTCTTTTTTAGGTACAAATGCTACAAATTACAAATGTGCAAAACATTAGCTTATACCTGCAACAAATTACCCATCACCAATTATTTAACATTTCACAAATGCCCACATGCAGTCAACCACACGTACATATTAGATACCAAGATTGTGCACTATCATGATAAAAAAACACATTACATGTGCCGCCTTACAACCAGGGCGACTGTGGCTCAGTGGTAGAGTCGGCTGTCGCTCAACTGGAAGGTCGGGGTTCTATCCCCAGCTCCTGAAGCCACATGTGACCTTGGGCAGGACACTTAACCCTTAATCCCAAAGGTAGGGGTAGTAGGTGTGTGCTACTGGAAAATCACTATACAAGTTCAAGTCCATTTACCATAAGTCAAACCTACAGTTGGTGCTGTAGTTTTAAAATCTAGTAAAGCAGTTGTTCAGTCAAACAGTACCCATCAAAAACAAGAATCAATTACACACATGAAGAGAGACACAAAGTACAATTTTCTTGTTTCTCTAGTTATGGCCATTAACGCATCATTAACACATAATGCAGTCTTTAAAATGACCACCAACCTCCCCGAGAAAGTGGAGTGTCTCGTTAAAAGTGTAGTTGCAAGATTCTTCATGAGGGACCAGTGGGTCTGACCAGCCGTTGGAGGTGCAGTTGCGATGCACTTTACCTGCAAAATAGCCAAAATAAATCTGCTGTCTGTCATGGCTCCCTGATGTAAAATTGAGCCAAGGAAATGTATAGAAATGAAAATCATGATGATGTTTTTCCTATAGATTTGCGTGTAAATCAATGTGCACAATCATTTGGATAATTTGGCTGCAAACAAATAAAAAAATATATCTTTTGGAGTGCTTTAATACAATTCTCTTCAGTTAAATGATCACATCATTTATTATCCTCACCTCTCAGGTGTCAACGTAAAGTTAACACTTCAATATATGTGTCTCTAAGTATGCAAGCAAATCACTTCCATTGCATATGATTAAAAATTGCAATGTGGTATAAGATAGGGAATGTTTAAAAAAAAAAAAAAAAAAAAAAAAAAAAAGCATACGTGATCCATATGTCATATCTCACCTTCTGAACTGAAAAACTCATGGTTTGGACAAGGCTGAGAGACAGTTTGTCCAAGAGAAGCAGATGGCCAGCAGTTCAGGCCATCCCACATTCCTCTACAGTGTCCACTGGTGTTGCTTTCTTGACGGGTCAGAACAGAAAATTACTCTTTTTTTATTTTTATTTTGCATGCATTTGGAGGGATTTTATAGGCCTGCAGATTTCTAGCAGTAACAATAAAAGGCTCAAGTGTTCAGGGTGCATTACATATTTGTGACCACTAGATGTCACCAAAACATTTATCCACATTTTAAAAATATTCAATTAATTCAGCAGTCTCCATGCATTCACCAAAAAAGAAGAGAGAAAATAGAATATTACCCACCTGATGGACCTTCTGGTGACCGAATCAGCTGCAAATCCTTGATGCATTTCTCCTCTTCTTTCACAAGATTGACATGAGGATGACAACCTGATAATGACTTTGCCTGCAATCAAAGGAATATGGGATGACATCCTCCTCAAAAGTTTTCCATAGATTGATTCAACATGTTTTTCTTCTTACCTGGGCTAAGAGTAACACTCCAATAAGTCCAACTTTTTTCATGGTGTCAGACAGGTTCCCGTTCTCCATCAGGACAGGTGACTACCTCGAGGACTAAGTCCACACCAATCTGATAAGAATAAAAGACAAGCATCCTGCCATTCAGGAGATATATGACGTCTGAGAAGTCAAACATAGGCCCTCTCAGAATGCAGATAAGTATTTAAAGTAGCCTACACGGCAATCTGATAAGGTTTTTTTTTAATCTAGATAGCTATATTCAAACTAAAACTTCCTGTTAGAATTTCAAAATAAAGTATATTTTTGGCTATGCTATGTTTATTTCATGCGTGATTAAGATGAAGGTAACGGCTAGCACATGAAAATGTTTGTTGATATAATTTCTTCTTACTCAAATACGCAATGTATGTGTACAAATAAATAGACAACCTTTTTTTAAGCCTATAGAAATGTCGACGTTTAATTTGAAAGGATATTATCTAGTTCCGGGGCGTATTTGTGGTGTTTTGACGTCGTTTTCGAGGTCTGTTCTCTGCCAGCAGTTTCCCACGGCTCGTTTCGTCCCGCCCTTTAACAGCTCTGACGTCTCCATGGCAACGGCGCTGTTTGACAGCGGGGCGCTAACACAGCAACAACAGTAGAAATGACTGAACAAAATTGACGGTATATGGCTGTTTTATCTGAACGAAGTGTTCAAACATATTGCCTACATCTTATGTAAGTTCTAAAGTTCTGTTTTCTGAAAGGTTTATACAGAAGAAGTGGATAAAAACGGAATTTAAGTAGTTAGGATATATATTAAGGCTAGTTCGGTTAGCTAGTAGTTTATAGGTCCGTCTACAACCTGCTTTTATTACACACATGAGGATTTGCTAGTAGCCTAATTGTGGCCAAATTTCAATATAAACAAGGAATAAATCTTCAAAATGTCTTTCTTCATGTACTTTTTGAAAAGGTAACTAATTATTTTAGGCTGTGACTTATATAATATATATACTCTCTGTCCTTGACTGTCCTCAAGCCCTCTTACATTACCCCCATTAGAGAGCCAGAGCTGACCCCATAGCCAGGATGGACACGGTCTTCTCTGCCCCGCAGATACTCTCCTCCAGGTCCCTCCAGAGGGTGACTCCCATGATGCCTCTGTGCCAGCTGGTGGAGGAGAGTAGGAGTACATCTAACATCCCCAATCATCTCCTGGAATCAAGTATAAGCCTGACATCTGAAACCTTCTTTAGAAGTTGCAGTTACTGTAGTTGCCTTACAAGCATTGACTAGGGGCAAAAATCTGTGTTGTCTTGTAACCATCAATGGCAAAACAATATTTTTCAAATGTGTGAAAAACTACTTACACATAAAAAACTATGCCATTTTCTATGCACAGATGCTTGTGTTTGTTTTTCCCCTTTACAGAAATCTTTGCCAGACTGAAAAGCAACAGCCTGATCCAAGCAAATCCCCCAGAGCTTCACTTCAGTGGATTTGAGCTCGGGAAGGATTACATCAAGACACTGGTGAGGAAATACTTAAGACATTTTACTTTGTTCATTTTTATTTCACTCAAACATCACTTAGCTTATTTATTGACTGTGAGTTTAAATAATATTTTGTCAGAGAATTGAACATGCAAAGGCTGTATATTGGGCTAACATGACACAGGTTTATTCCATGCAAATCTGCAGAACAAAGACTGTTAAGCCTTGCCTTGACCATAATGCAAGCACCATGCTAACAGTGCATGGTGCTTGCTGTTGCATGCAGCCTCTACAGCAGTGATCATGAACTGCCCCCCCCAAGGCTTCCAATCTGGCCCCCAGAATATCAGTCATCTCAGGTGATTCAACAGAAAACATAAGAATTCAATCCCAAGGCTGAAATACTTAAATTAGGTTAATGTGAGAGATTACATTTCCCCTCTGACACCAACTTCTACATATCAGGCTTGACAGATGTCAGGCTTATTCACAAGCAACACATTAAAAATATATAAATAAATACAAATGTAAAAAATAAAAATAAAAATAATTCCACAATGCAAACAGCACATTTTAAAGTCCGGCCCCCACAGTGTCTGTGAAGAAAAAATCTGGCCCTTATACAAATGTAGTTGATGAGTAAGAAGTGATTTGGTTGAATCTTAATCAGTGACAGCGTGATGGTTTTCCAAGTTGGAGCAATCATTTCTCATGAAGGCTGAATGTAACATGGGGGGCTATAAAGAGAGAGTACACCAAGATGCAGGCCAAGGCATCTACTGTAGGTACTGTAAGGCAAGCATATACCTGTTAATACCTGAATGTTAATTTGTTTGGGCAACAGTGCTATTTAGTTTAGTTTAATCATTTATTTGAATCAGGGACAGTGTACAAGAGATGCTTTGTACCAGATTTAGCAAACTAGCTAATTTCCATCTGTTGTCCCTGGGCAGATGATGGCATTTACTGCCACTATGCCAGCCCATCCAGTTTCCATCTAGGATGAATATGATTTAACTGAGTTTGCACTGATTTTAGATTTAAGAAGCAAGTATATAATAAAAATGTTTTTTCTCGAGTGCACAACATTGAAGGAAAATTATCATTTTCATCCATCTGTTTCCTTTTTCTCAGAAAATAATCAACATCTCATCTGAAGTGATGGATATTCATATCATTCCAACACAAACGAAGCACTTCAAAACGTCATATACAAAAAAGGTACTTTTTCCATGATAAACTGCTGACCTGAAAAATACTATTACTCCACTTGTTGTTTTAGTGCTATCGCCTTTTTTTCAGCTATTCAGCCGTGTTCTAACTGTTGTTATTATTTTTTTCAAGTATCGACTCATTCCGGGTCTCGCCTACACAGTGAAGGTCAGCTTCTGTCCTGACGAGTGGCGTTACTTCTATGACAGCGTCCGGGTTCATTGCAAGGTTTGGGTCAGACGATTTGTCCTCCTGTGTGTGTTGTGCTATAGTTCGGTTTGATGATTATAATTAGGTGTTTTAAACATTCAACTTAAGAAGCAGAAACATAATTCAAGTTGTTAGTTGTTTGTTAAAGTTGACTAGAAAGACATAGAAGTGGCCCATGTAACACATAGTCCAGAGAAAAATTCAAAATTCCTTTGTGCTTTATGTGGTATCCCAGTGAAACTGATTACGTTTATAAATTAGTAGGGCCAAACCGATATGGGATTTTTGAGGCAGATATCTTCGTAAGCTCTATGTTCAATCTGTAGAGGTAAATATAGATATACAGATTTATTGTGTTGATCCCTCAAATGCTGCTTCATTCAACCCAAATGCATCCTTTGTCAGGGGGAAGAGAACCTGTTGATTCCAGTTCATGCCTACCCGGTCATTGATGACCTACACATCCCCCCTCATATCGACCTGTCAGCAGTACCACTTGGACAAAGGTGAGTGTGTATACCATACAGTGTGAGTGTTGGGCTCTTCATTGGGATGATTTTCTGACCTTCTGTCTTGCCTGAGGACTTTTCCTGTCAACCAATCAACCAACCATGCCTCTATTCATAAAAAAGTAATCTCATCCATTCTTGTCCACCTGTTTCTAGTGTTTCACATGCTATACCCCTGAGATGCAGTTGTCCTATTGACTTTGAGTTCCGGTTGTTTGTCATTCAACCCAGTGAGGCGTTCTCCATCAGTCCACTTACAGGTATGGATTGATTACATTTTGAACAGTATAATATTGTGATAAGAGTTCATTATAATAAGGCGCGTGGCTGCCTTGACTGATGGGTGGGCGCAGTCCAGCAGTTTGTCAGGAGGCTGAGAGGCTCCAGCTCTTAGCCTGGTTGGCTGAAAGTAAAGGTTAAGACCGCATTTCCAGCATGGCGACCCCCATCAACTGGCTCCAAAAGCCCCCTTCAGTACCCACTGGGCAGGGGTGTGTCCAGAAGGATGGATTCACCCATGATCTCTGATTGGCCCTAAATACATCCATGCCACAGGCTTTTTTCCACGTTTATTTACAGTCTATGGTTTCTAAGCATCTGAATCGGTTTTGGGGAGATACTATGTACTATGCATATAGTCAGCTATAGCTGGTGTCTAAGTCTAAGTGCAACCATTAACGTAGGTATGGATCCAATGTGTGCACACATAACTCATCCCTATTGGCTTTCCCTCGCTCTTCCAGGTGTGATACCAGCTAATGGAGAAGTGAAGATTACTGTGACCTTTAGTCCTGTCCAATACCAGACTTCTCAGGTCACTATCCAGCTGATCATCTCACAGTTCAACTCCAAACCCTACCTCTGCACCATCACCGGGAGTTCAGCCCCTCACCTATCCCCCAGGTAATTGGAGAAGTTTGGATCTTCCAGCCATTATTTGCCTTTATGTGTTTAGTGGGTGGTGATATGGTATCCTCCCCACTGAAACATTTCTCTTAAATGTAGCTTAGCTTAGTTTCTTAAAAAGTTAAGCAGTTTATTTAGTGCATAGTATCATCAGCTGGCTCAACTGATGTGTTCTCAGCTATTATGTGCAATTGAACTACCAAACTAGGTGGTTCTTTTGGTGTTAAAACTAGATTCATCTGGATTAAAAGAAAGTCATATGTCGAGTTCCTATTTGAGATTTTGTTTCCAGTCAATGTTTTATTCTGCTCCCATGAGAAAAGTGGATGCTATCCATCACACGTTGGTATCCATCCAGTGACGGTCTTGGCGTTATCTCGGGCCAGGAGTTAATCATTCATGAAAATAGCTTGGTAGCTGCTTTATCAACATGGATATGCCTCCCAATAGACAGTAAGCATATAAAACATTCTCACTCAAGATGACATTCAGTGAGAGATTAAGAGATGCATGCTGGAGTTGATGGGTTTTTTTTCAACTTGAAACCACTTCCTGGCCCTTCTTTTCTGCATGCCATAGACAATTTAAAAGATGAATTTTGTTCTATTGCAAACCTACCTGTGTTATTTTTCCTCGTGGTTTCTTGTTTTTCCTCCTTTAAGTAGTTTTTTGTTTGCCTTTTTGTTCAAATAAATAATTTGTTTTCTTATCTGCAATTGGGTTCTAGTTCCTTATTTTCCTTTCTATTGTGTCTGTCCATGATCCACAGGATGGCTTGAGCATGTCTGGCACCTGCCACTCAAAACTCACTCTCTTGCTACAAATGTTAACCAACTGCAACATTTAACAGTTAATAAAAGGTAGTTACCATCACTAATAGATTATAAATAGACCTATGAAGATACTTTATAATTCACATGCAACAAGCAACATTGATTTTCACCTAAACAAAGGGTTTTCAAGAGATCTGGAAAAGTGGGCGTGGCCGTTTCTCTGCCAAGGAGTGGTTTTGGTGCAAAATAAATGCTTGTAATGGATTCAGCATCCCAAATAACCCCTAATTTGACCCTAAATATGCTATTTAAGGCACGTAAAAAAAAATCAAAAATTTCAAATTTTCAACCGATAGGATTCCAGGTACCCGAAGTTTCAGCAGCTCTCACAGATTTTCCTACAGGAGTTGAATTTAAATCTTTTTATATGTGTAACTAGACACCTTTAGAAACACATTGGTGTAGAAATTGGTTGGTAAGGAATTTATTCCCAGATTTTCACAATATTCCCTTACTATGGCAAATGCATATAATAATAATTCAATTTGTGTTGACTTTGCAATCTAAAATGAATTGCAGTATTGTCAGCCAGGCATTTCTGTGTTTTACTCTGATACATCTGTTATTAAGGTTTGAGCACATTTCATCATCATCATCATCATTTTCCCTTTTTTTGTACATTTTATTTGACAGTGAGCTTGGAGGAACGCCAGGTCATGGAGATGCAGTGCCTGCAGCAACTGAACTGCCGTTGCCTGCAACCCAAGGGCCTCGATGTAAAATCAAATACAGGCCCAACAAGAAGGGGGAAAAAGAAAAGGTAGACTTTCAACTTCAACAGACGTGTATGTGTTTCTGTCACAATTCAATTCAAAAGCTTACATGATCTGAGTAAACGTCAACTGAGCTATCTGGAAATTTTTCTTTAAAGTGAAATGAGCCATTCAAAGGCGCAGAGGTGTCGTTCTTTTACATCACTGACTACAGGAAGACGATGTTGGGGCTTAGCTAAATTGCACCTAAAGCGATCAAAAAGAAAAACTGAATAAGACAAGAGAAAAAATGAATCTCGTTGTTTTCAACAGTTTTCCTTTTTTTTTACCCACTTGAAGAAGCTGAACAGTCTGGCTTATGTTCATCCTGAGGTAAAGCCTCCAGTAGATGTGTGTACCCATGCAGGAGTGGCAAAAATGCTGATAAAAGACATCACCAGTTCTAAAGACCTGAGGGGAGGTAAATGACACCACTTCACTTTCTTTTTTACTTTATTGACATGCATGTCCCTTTAATTAAACCGTAGCAGTATCTTATTAATGAGAGTGATGTCATATTTTCATTTTGCTCTTTTTTTTTCCAACTTTTGGCCATCGAGTTTAAATGCATTTTAGGCACAAATGAAAAAGTCTGTTTCATGCGTGTTCCCCTCTTCACACCAGCAGTAATCTGTGGCAGTATGGATGGTCTGCAAAACAGGAAGATGAAGGAGACCCTCTTCAGAAAGAAGGTGGAACATAATGTGAAGGAGCTGCAAGCTAACCAAACCAAATGGTGGGTCACATTTTGCACATTTCTTTCTTGTTGTTGTGTGTTTGGAGCTTCCTTTGAAAATCATACACTGAATTTCAGAAGTGCAGGGACAATGTGAAGATGTCAGTGATATGAGGAGAATAAAAGACGGGTATGAGGATAATGAAAAATAAATAAACTAAGAACTGAAATGGAGCCTCTGTGTAATGATGGGCACATGAAGCCTCATGAAGCATTGGGGCTTTTTTTTTTTGTGCTAAAAATATTTGAAGCTTTTTGGGTTTCATTCTCAGGGGAAACAGTGACACCTAGTGGCGTCCTGAAATTAGAGCAACCAAACACCTCACTGATTCAATCTGAATTTTTTGCAATAAAAGTCATGAGAAAATTTATTGAGCTTGTCTCTATTGTTAAATACATTTAATGTGTATTTCAGGAATTAAAAGAATTTAAAAATAGGTGTATTTTTTTTTCTTTCAGGCAAGTCCGTCTGGGTGACGACCCGGTGTCAGAGGACAAAAGGAGGCAGATAGCAGAGGAAAAAGAGATTGTACTATGCATGGTACGAAGTAAATGCATGGTACGAAAAGCCAATTATTATTCACACAACGAGTTATGTCACTGAGTGATTTTCAGGTTGCACACTGAGTCCCCAGCTGCTTTAAGAAGCTGCATTTTCAACAGCATGCAAACACACCTATTGTAAGCAAAATTTAAAGTTCAGGGTACTGCTCAAGCACCAAAACTTTTAGCTCATGGTCCTTTTCATTTCCAGTCAATGTGAAGGTAAATGAAATGTAACTATAACTGTCCTTTCAACCTTTTCAAGGCCTCTGAGGGAGCCCCGTCTTTGCACTCTTTTCAGCAGAGACAACGAGCCTTCACAGTGTTTCAGCAGGCAGCACGCAAGGTAAACACATCCAGATACATTAAAGTCCACTGAGATGTACAATGAACAAATTCACAAATGCATTGATGAACAGATATTTTTTATGAATAAATTAACTCTTCTCTCCCTTCCAGGTGGTGATCAGATGTCGGATGAACTGTCGGCTGACCAGTTTGAAGAAACTCTCAGACGGTCTAAAGAGCCCGCCTTCAGCAAAGAAAACTTTTGACAATCCTGTGACCTCCTCATTCAGAAGTAATTGCATTGTGCCGTGTGTCATGTCAGTGAAGCACTCATCATTTAATTAGTTCCTAGAGATAACTTTGGAGCGAGATCTCCTCTTGTCATCAGCCGTTTTCATTCATCCCATGTCACCACTGTAATGCCTCTGGTGATCACTTCTTCTCCCATTACATGACAGTAAATATCACTCTCCAAAACAGCACTTAATGATATTCTTAGAACATTCATGCATCCTTAAGGGAAAGGGCTAAGTGTGCATTTAGTCATTCATTGAGTCTAAACACAATCTGTACAAATGAAGTTTCATGTTTTTTATTTTGTCACAGATTTTTCAGTTTGGGAGACGACTTGCGATCAGAGAGTCTCGCCAGCCAGAGTCTTCCCGTTTTCTTTCCCCAATTTTTGTAAAGAAGATGATCCGCTGGTAAGTACTGTATAACTGACACCAACCTGGAATGATTAAAGCATGCATACTCGACAAATGCTGTGTTAAAATGATGTCACTTGCAGCCTCTTCTTTGCATGTAAACCGAATTTCTTTGCATCATAGTCTATCTATTGAAAATACTGTTTGATGCAACGGTGGAATCAAAGGAGATCAATTATATTCAGTATATAACTAATAATGCCATTTGTCCCCTTCATGATTCTAGGTTCACATGAGTTTGGACACACTGCCTGTGGAAACCACTGATATGAATGTGACAACACAACCTTTCTTCAACCTTCAAGTAGGTCCTTATCGTAGCAACATATAAATCAGCAGATAGGTCACTGAGCAGCAATGATGGAAAGTTATAGAGTACATTTGTAAAACCATGAAGACTGGAACATTCTTGTTTTTCATTTTTCAGCCACATTTTTCAATTTGTATTTTTCCAGATTAAGCTTTTATGTGAAACATATGTTGAACTGACGAAAATACACAATACTCAAATTGTCACATATGTAAGCAACACGTTTGGATTGGAGGTCCAAACCTTTTTTGCTTGTGACCTTAAACAAATAGAAGTTAGTAGTTGGCAATTTTCAAGTCAGGCTGTATTAGCCGTCTCTATTATCTGTGTTTATATTCTGTTGATTTTAAAAGTTAAAGGACCAGTATGTAAGATATCTACTGAATTAAATGATAAAGTGACCTTACTATATGATCACACATTAAGGAAACATGCTATGTTGAAGTGCTGGCTTCTCTGACAACAGTGTAGGAGCCAGTATGTCCTTCTACGTTTATTTTTGTTTTCACCAGAGAATAATTGGTTTTAAGGCGCCCCCACACAGCCGTTTTTTGGCACCCCTCGGTTTGCCTGGCAAATGGCAAACCATCAGGTGTTGCAGCGATGGCTATAACTGATTCAACCCATCCTAAAAGGCCTCTGCATGTTTCTAATAAGCTCCACGAGCAGAAACGTGCTCAAACTAAGATCAATATTGGAGATGCTTTTGAAAAATGAAGAGAGGTTAGAACACAGAAAGGTTTACAGAGCAGGCTAAACACTGAAGCTACAGTGTCCACTACATGGCAACCTGCGTGCTCTCTGGGGAGGACAGGGCAGGGGGAGACGGCCATGTCCAATACTTTGAAATTGGACTGCAGTACCAATTTTAAACACTAGGTGTCAGTTACATATTGCTCCTTTAAATATGTTGGTGTTTTTTTTTTTTTTTACCCTAGGCACCTCAGCACCACAGGCTGATGGGCTACCACCCTGTGTCCGCGTTGGAGGCATTTCACTCTTATATCCCAACTATTCTGGACAGACAACTTCGCACTGGAGCTCTGGTAACTTTGAAAGAAACAACAAATATAAGAGAATAATATTTATTCATTTATCTTCAGTCAGTCATTCAATCACATCTTCATTATTGTTTTTTTTTTATTTTCCTCCCTGTGTTTTCACGTTTTTAGAATGAGTTTGTGCCCGATAACAATCAAGCAGAGCATCAACAGCGGGATGAACAGAAAGAGGAGGACGTGGTGTCATGGGAGGATTACAGACTCTCCTTTAGTGCCCCAGAAGCTCTACTCACACCTTTTCCAGCAAATCCACTCAGAATTTTTGTAAGGCTCCCTATTTATCTGATGACTCTGAAAAAATGATTAATGATTAATGAAGGTATCCAAGCAGTGTGTTTATATCACTTTTTGTTCTATGCCTAAGAATCCAGCTCCAGGCCTGCAGAGTTACAAAACGACCCCTAAATACCTCGAGAGTGATCTTAATTTCCATCTCTGCCCTGTGCCCAGGTAACAACAACCCATTGTAATTGAACTGTTTATTACCATCCAGAAATAAAATCCAGCACTTAGATCAAGAACGTATCAAAGGAAGGAAGTTGATTGTTTCAGACTCATTCTGACATTTGTTAACTTTTTTAACTGACCAAACCCAGATAAACGAGTGAAAGGGCTTTGTCTTAGCAGGTATACGATCCCTGAGAGCAAAACATGTGACATCAGGACTCAAACCTCACACGCTCCCAAGACGCTTCCGGATCGGCAGGTAATCTGTTATATATCTGCAAAAACACAATAAGCTGAATCAGCTGTCCTCTCCTCAGGATCACTATCCAGGATTTCTCTTCCATCTTAATCCCGACAAAACGGAAATACTTTTCATTTGGCCATAAATGTCAACACTAAAGTTGATGAGTTTTAAACCAAATTCAAATCTACCGCTTAGAATCTGTGTATCTGTGTACCTGTTTCCTGCAGCTAAGAACCATTGCAAAGATCAAACCAAAAGTGTCCCATAAAGGACTCAGAACAGACTGTTTGTCTGTACCTTTAAATATGTAAATGAGCTGTGTCTGACCACACCCCCTCTCTGGAAGGGCTTTGGGTGTACTCATCTTTCTCGCGCCATGTCCTATTGTTTACGGTGAGAAAGCAGACTCAGAGGGCAGAACAAACACCTAGCTGTGGGAGTGTCACCCACCTGGGGGAGGGGTTACTGCCCTTTGTGATGTCATAAAGGGAAAATCTCCAAACGGCCTGTTTGAGCACACATTTTCTGAAAAGTGGAGCAGGTGAAAGACGGAGAGGATGGACTTTTCTCATTGGGGGTTTGTAAACAGACTAGAGACACATATTAGAGTTAGAGAAACATAGTGAAGTGGATTTTACATAATATGTGACCTTAAATGCTTCACTTTCCTCAGCTTTTGACTTTCTTTGTATTGATTGTGTCCTTCATTCTGGACCTGAACCAAGTTTTATAGTACCATCTCAATTTTTGTTTAATACCACCTTGAAGTCTGGAAAACTGTGCTGTGAAACTAGCTCCATCTGTTGATGCAGATATATGACTCCTCCTTTCTTTACCAACAACAGGAAGTGAGTCGAGGGCTCGGGAAAATGAACGGTTTTCCTCCGCTTTCCTCGAACTGTTTGTCCTATCAACCTGGTCTCACACGCAGGTAAACGAGAACTCAACAATGATCAGTGATCTCTTTATCACACGGAAAATTCCACTCAGGTGTCAGAAAACAAATACTTGTAAATATATATTTGTTTGTACAGTGTAGTTTATCTGACATGATAGAAATCTAAAGCCGCACAGTTACAAATTAAGTAAAATTCCCCAAAGGAATTGCTTCTTATTTAGTTGATGTAACAGTAATTCTGAGACTATGCAACACCATCTTCTCACCCTGCTGTCTACTTCTCCTCAGCTTCCCTCTGTTACTTCAGGCTCAGTCTTATATACATGTTGGTTCTGTTTCACTTGTTACTTTGGAAATCTCTCAATTTTGTCTCCTATGTTTCCTCCAAAGAAAAACCCTGTGGCTAGTGGATGAATGTTTTACTCCTTTTCAAACTGTTTCAAACCACACAGTTTTCCTACACAGGTCTTCAGACTACAGTGAAGAGACACTCCTCACAGATCCACCTGCTCCTTTAACTGGCCCTCCTGTTGATCTCTCTCAACTAATGGACCAACCGTGAGCACATTCAAGATGTCTTCTTTTTAAATGAATTTAGATTTGTATCTGATTTCATGCTCATATTATGTGTGTTTGTGTGTAGGTATAAATGCTCCAGAGTCCAACTGTCACCAGAGATAATCAGAGCCGAGTTCTTGACATGGAAAGCTCTAGTCAACACAAACCTTACTAGAGGCATGACGGGCAGGTATGCATGATACACACACACACACACACACACACACACACACACACAAAGGAGTATGGTGCTGCTTTAATGTTATCAGATACACCATTTATTAGCTCCTGTTTGCACATAAGCATATTACACAAATACAGATAACTAACTATAACTAATGCATGGTGAAGACAAAATGAAATAACACATTGCTTACACTCTAAAACAAGGGGGCATAAAGGGGAACGCTTTCTGGGGGCCAGCAGCATGGAGGGGCAAATGAAGGTTGTGCAAAGACATGGTCCATCCTTAATTTCAACAATCAAACCACATGTTGTTTTAAAGCTACAGTAACGCATTAATTATGAAAGCAACAAAAGGGAACATTGTTGCCTGTTCCAAAATATAAACCCCCTCTTTTTTAAGGTGCTATTGGAGCTTTTTTTTCCTGTAATGTTCATATTATTTATATACCCATTAAACTCATCATAGTCAAACTGTGTATAGCCATGCCAGGACCTTTAACAAGCTTTGTTTTAGTAAGCTCCAAAAGCTGATCAGGGCTCCGGCTAAGGAGCAGAGAGGTTAGCCAGAAGGCTGGTTAAGAATTGTTAAAATGAAATCTAAGCAGGGCCCATTAACTGAGCCTTTCAGGGACCCAGACATCTGTACAGGCAGGCTTGCTCTGACGTCATGTCATTGACTATACAAAAGTCCATTGCTCTTTTGTAAACATTTAATTTTGAGTCATCCTAGAAAACAAAAGCATTTGTTAATAGGACTGTGTGTATAATCACATTCTTAAATTAGATTCTTCACATGCTTAAATTAAAAGGGTTGGGTGTGTGTTATTTGTTGAAACAGGGCTTTTTGTTTATTAATTAGCTCCTCCATTTTTCCAATGATATTAACTTGTTCTGTTACAGGCACACTGGGGAGCTTCAGATGGAGGCGTCGGAGTTTAACACGATTGGAAGAAGAGTGTTGACCAGGCTGAAGCAACTTGAAGCCACTGACTCAAAGTTAGCTTTTTCCATCCAATGAATAAAATACAAGGTCTTATATTTATGTGGTTTTTTAATACAGCTGTGTTGGTCAAGATTTGTGTTTGGTAGATTATTTCTTTGTTGTAACAATGCTTCTTGGCAATTAATCCCATACTGTTGGAAAGCCTGTTTGTTTCCCTTTTAAATGGTGCCACATTTTTAAGGAACATGCATTTCTAAGATGAGCAGCAGAGTTGAGTATGTGGGTTTCGCCCATTTAAAAAGGGTAATAAACAGGCTTTCCAACGATATATATATATAGGGAGATGATTCTACGGCTGAGTCAGCAACAGCAGATAACCTTCAACTACCAACGTCATGTTTAATTGAAACCTGTGGACCAATCATCATCAGTCTTTAATTAAGCTCTGATCACAGACACAGCTTGTTAAAGGTGAACCTACCTGTACCTCCTGTTCAGTCCTGACAGATCAGCGTGCTGAGGACAGATTTTAGAATCAGAAGGTCTAGGGTTTGAAATCCCGCTTGAGCTACTATCTGCAGGTCTGGTCCATAAAGGTGTCACCAGTCCATACTGGTCCATAGAAACCTGAACCACATTGAGCATGCTCACAGGTCTTTAATATCAGGTGTTATGAAACCATTGATTGATGATATTTGTGCAGTTCAGTCAGTGTGCAGTAGTGTTTCTGCAACTTTCAGACAATCAAACAACAAGTTATCCAATGGTGTCTAGGACCTTCTGTTGTTGTTGCCGTGGTAACAAACAGGTATGGATCTCATTTGATTTATAATCCAGGGATCATTGCAGCTGTGATTTAGACTAAACTAAATGATTTCAGAGAAATCCACCTTGAACCTGTTTCAGAAGCGCTCCTCTAAACGTAAACAAACCATCAGACCCCCCCACCCTCTCTGAGTTAGTTTAAAGATGAATCAAACCAACACACAACGTTTTTTTAATCTTAAATAGTCAAATAATATTCTGTAATGTGACCTCTTCTCCACCAGATGGAGCTGTCTCTTCATGCACGCAGAGCACACACTCAATGACATCACAGGAGTGTGTGTGTGTGTGTCACTATGAACAGGTGTGAAGTGAGAAACTGTAGTAGGCCACACACACACACACACATTATAAATATAACGCATAGCCCTTTGACCCTGAAGTGTCCCCCCCAAAGTGGTGACCTTTGACCTGCCTAGTGGCTCAGTGTAAACACACAGCATGACGCTCCACACACATACACACAAGTAGAATTAGGGGGTGTAGCCTAAAGCGATGCTGACATCACTGAGACTATGTCCATGTTTCATACACACTGTGGTTGTGTGTGACTTTCTAATCAGCTGTTTTATGGTTAAATATGTCTGAAGGTCGTCGCTAACTCTGTTTCTGATTGGTTGGAGTTTATTCTGTTTGATCCTCCAGAGTGCGTCACCTCGTATCCCAGCATGCTGTGATCCCAGCATGATGTTTGTTACCACGGCAACAAGTAAAGAAGACCTAATATTGGGTCAAATATTAATTTGAGTTAAGAAAAGTTGCAGACAAACTCACTGCACACTAAGTTGCTCAAATATGTTGACAACTTTAGTGAAAGAGGGAGGAGCTGGAGAGGCCAGTTGCACAAATATGGCTTTTACTAAAGTTGTCAACTTATTAGTTCAACTGTAGCTCCTCATTCTTTTAGGCTACCAAAGTGTGTGTGCAACTGTCCTCTCCACCTCCTCTTGTACCAAAGTTGTCAACAGATAATGTGCATTTTAGAGTTTTAGAGTTGTCCACAGTTTCTGTGAATTATACTGTACTTGTGTCTTTGTTGCCATGGTAACGTCATGGCTACATATCGATGATTTTATATCAATATAATTGAATGAAAACTAGAATCATATCAAGGTTTAAATCCTGGTGACAAAGTTAATTTCTGAAATATTAAAAACTTTTTAATTGTGGACAGTGGCCCCGAGGGTCCAAACAGACGAGTTGCAAAACCTGATTGGACACCATATATGAATATATATATATTGTATAATTGTAATATAATGTGGTTAGGGTAATTATGGGAATGTCTTCTTCACCTGGGACCTCCCCCTCCCCCTCCCTCACCCCTCCCTCACCCCTCCCTCCTCCTTCATGCCGACACCTAACTTCCGGCCAATCTCTCCTTGTCCCTCGCTCATTCCCACACACATACTTTCTCTCTCTCACACGCATACACAAATATTAAACCGGTTTAGTGTCAGTGTGTGTGGACGGGTGAACGGGCTCCGGTTCACAGGATTAGGACCCTTCCTACGGTGTGTGTGTGTTTGTGTGAGTGAGTGTGTGTCGGTTTTGCCGCGCGGCCCCTCCCGGTGTGCGGGGCTCCAACATCTGAGAGTTTGATCGGACTGACCGACAGGCAGCGGCGGGAGAGAGCAGCGGTGTTAGCCCGCACACAGGACAAAGAACCCCGGGGGGAGAATCCGGATTTTAACCTGGGAGGATTGGAGGAAGAGAGGCGGAACATGGACCGTGTGCTTGGGCTCGTCTTCGCCGTCTTCGTGCTCGGTAAGAAAACGATTCGATGATTCACTCCTGATAGATAATTAACTCTGATATGTGACGGCGTTCTCCAGCACGGGGAGCGTAATGTGGAACCCCGTCTGGAGAAGCGTCAATTAAGGATTCACTTGCTTGTCATCGAATAAAAATGCGTTTAATAAGATCACATAAACCATTATCAGTAAAGGAAACTTCCATTAGTCAGTTCGGCAAACATCCAACATATCTTCCAGCAATTAAATCTAATAAATATCAAAGATTTTCAACTGCTCCACTCTGTCAGCTAACGTGTAGTTTCATGAAGAAATCTCCGTTGGAAGAAGCAAATTGATTGAATAAGTTGAGATGTAAGTGGAACAATGAGCAGGGTTTGGTTTGTTGCATAATGCCGAATTGTAGGGTAGGGAACAGAAAATGAAAAATGAATGATGTACTTCCTCATAGATGTGTGCGTGTAAGGACAGGCTGAAAAAATGCTAAACCACCGAGCTGTTCTATGGGGTTTGGCCATTGGCACGACGCTGTCTCCCTGCAGGGGGGAACTTCCCCTGTGGAGATTTCCCCCTAAAACCAAAATGTGAAGACTTTGATGAATCAGTTTGTTGTTCATGTTTGATTGTTTCTAAAGATGAATATTTCTGATATCAAGATAATGAGCAGACTGATAATTAGATGAAATGCTCCTTTAGTGTGACTGTTCCTCCCTGAAGCCTGTATGACTTAACCCACTCTGACAAGCTCCCATTAGCCCGCTCACAGGTCAACCCGGGCTATTATCATGATGAGCCTGATACACAGACCCGAGTCAAACCAGGCTAATTATCAGGCCAATTATCAGGCCAATAACCAGGCTTATAACCAGACCCAGGCTAATAACCAGGCTAATAACCAGACTAATAACCAGACTAATAACCAAATTAATAACCAGGCTTATAACCAGACCCAGGCCAATAACCAGGCTAATAACCAGGCTAATAACCATACTAATAAACAGACCCAGGCCAATAACCAGGCCAATAACCAGACCCAGGTCAATAACCAGACAAATAACCAGGATAATAACCAGACCCAGGCTAATAACCAGGTTAAAAACCAGAACCAGATTAATAACCAGGCCAATAACAAGACCCAGGCTAATAACCAGACTAATAACCAGACCCAGGTCAATAACCAGGCTAATAACCAGACTAATAACCAGACCCAGGTCAATAACCAGGCTAATAACCAGACTAATAACCAGACCCAGGTCAATAACCAGGCTAATAACCAGACTAATAACCAGGCCAATAACCAGACCCAGGCTAATAACCAGACTAATAACCAGACCCAGATGAATAACCAGGCCAATAGCCAGACCCAGGCTAATAACCAGACCCAGATGAATAACCAGGCCAATAGCCAGACCCAGGCTAATAACCAGACCCAGATGAATAACCAGGCCAATAGCCAGACCCATACTAATAACCAGACCCAGATGAATAACCAGGCCAATAGCCAGACCCAGGCTAATAACCAGACTAATAACCAGACTAATAACCAGACCCAGGCTAATAATCAGGTTAAAAACCAGACCCAGGCTAATAACCAGGCCAATAACCAGACCCAGGCTAATAACCAGACTAATAACCAGACCCAGATTAATAACCAGGCCAATAGCCAGACCCAGGCTAATAACCAGACTAATAACCAGACCCAGATTAATAACCAGGCCAATAACAAGACCCAGGCTAATAACCAGACCCAGGCTAATAACCAGGACAATAACCAAGCTAATAACCAGACTAATAACCAGGACAACAACCAAGCTAATAACCAGACCCAGGCTAATAACCAAGCTAATAACCAGACCCAGGCCAATAACCAGACTAATAACAAGACCCAGGCTAATAACCAGGCTAATAACCAGACCCAGGCTAATAACCAGACTAATAACAAGACCCAGGCTAATAACCAGGCTAATAACCAGACCCAGGCCAATAACCAGACTAATAACTAGGCTAATAACCAGACTAACAACGGGCCAATAACCGGGCAGTGCTGGGTCATCCTTCTGAACTAATCTGGACCTGCTCACTGGACCAGATCAGTGTGTGTGTGTGTGTGAGAGGGACTTGGCTTAAATTAGTGCAGTGTAAGATGATCAAATGTCGCCAGCTCTCCTGTGGTGTGTGTTTCTGTGTATTGACTGTGTGTGTGTGTCTGTGTGTGTGTGTGTGTGTGTGTGTACAGTATATACACCCCCCCCCCCCCCCCCTCTCTGTGTGTATGCGTCACGCTCTGGTATGAGACACATTGAACCTCCTGACGTCCTCTATTACCTACTCGTTGACCTCAGGTGTTCCTGCTGCACACACACACACACACACACACACACACACACACACACACACACACACACACACACACACACACACACACACACACACACACACACACACACGTTGACTGTTCACCATTAATAAACCTTCTTTCTTTTTGCATGATGTGAACCCCAGTCTGAACTATTCACATCGCCACTTATGATATCATGGTGCGTTCAAGGTCCCGTCATGTAAGAACTTTGGGAACCATACTGAAACAGGCTCAAGGTTGATTTCTCTGAGATCATCTAGTTCAGTCTAAATCAGGGCTGTACGGATCCCTGAGTTATACACTTTGATATACAACTAATGACATCCATTCCTGTTTGTTACCATGGCAACAGTTCATTAAACTGATCCAGGATCAGGATCATGAAACTGATCCAGGATCAGGATCATGAAACTGATCCAGGATCATGAAACTGATCCAGGATCAGGATCAGCTGAAGGCCTGTATCAGAGTCTTGTTGCTCTCTGAATCGACGATCAGGTGAAACACGCCTCGTCTTTTCTTTGTTGAAGAAACTTAAAATAAGATCTGCCTGCTTTTTATTTTTATTTGTCCTATTGTTGCTAGGCAACAACAGACTGAACTCTCCCTAAATATGGAGTCCAGCTCTGATTTTCCTCCAGGCTGCTGAACCCTTTAAAGACTAGACCTGAGGAGAGACACCTGTCCAGGTACTGTGCCGACGCCCCCTTTTGAGTGACAGCTCCCCTCCTGATAGGCTGATGGTGAACTGACATTGAGCTCTTTAATTCAACATACCAAGAAAACCAATCTCAGCTGGTCAAAGCGTTCGATATTTATTGATCCGTCGTGTTTTAATTTTGAATGATCGATGGAATCAAATATTAACATCTTGAGTCAGACTTTAACCACGAGAGAGAGAGAGAGAGAGAGTGGGAGAGCAATGTTTGAACTCATAAACACGTTGACAGTATTTATAAAAGAGGGAGGAGCGACTGCAGCTCAGAGCAGCCGTGTGCAGCCAATCACAGACTCTTAACTGTTACATGGAGGGTCCTGCAGCCCCCACTCACCCCCACTGTGCACAGCTGTGGTTTATTATTCTGTTCTTTATCTCCGCTGATGTGAGGTCAGAGCAGGAATGTAAATAGGAAGTACAGACGAGAACACCTGAAGGCATCACAGGGTTGAACAGATGGACAATAAAGGTTTCAGTCTGTCCGTCTCTATGAAAGCTTCTCAGTGGTGCATGGAGCAAAAAGAACAGCTCATGGTGGGCTGTGTAATCTATACACAAAATGTTGAGAAAAAGAGGGAGGAGCCTGAGAGGAGGCGTGTTCACTCTGGGCTCAGGTGTTCAACATTAAAGTTATTTAAGGGTTCATTTGTTTACTCTGCTGTGTGTCTGTGCAGGTGAGGTCTCGGCCCGGGTGGTGAAGGTATCTCCTGGCCCGCTGATCAGGGTGGAGGGTCAGCCCGTCTCCATCAGGTGTGACGTCAGTGAATATGGAGGACCGCAAGAACAGGTGAGAGAGCTGCATGTACCTGTAGTTCAACACTGACAGGGTCTCACCTTTACTGATATCTCTCTCTCTCTCTCTCTCTCTCTCTCTCTCCTGCAGGACTTTGAGTGGGAGATGTCCAGCAGCTCCAGCGGCTCCAGGATAAAGATCATCTCCACCTTTGACGCAGCGTACTCCCACGCGTCCCTCAGCAAGCGCGTGGCGTCCGGAGACATCTCTGTGGAGCGTCTGCAGGACAACCAGGTGGAGCTGAAGGTGGCCGAGGTGAAGTCCACAGACGCCGGCTTCTACTGGTGCCAGACGCCGAGCACGGACTCTGTGATCAGCGGGAACTACGAGGCGAAGGTCAAACTCATCGGTATGTGAGGGGGGGATGCTGTCAGGGAAATGGTTTTTCAGATTAAAAGCTTCTTAATGAGTCATCAGCTGTGGTATTTGGTGTCGTCTGTGGGAGGACTCGCAGATTATTCTCATCTTGAAGGTGTGACAGGATCACAGCTGCTGCTGCTGATGACGCCAGATTCCACAGATTCATGATTTACTCAGATGAACCGGCTTTATTCAGGACAAATATCTGATGTGTTCTCTTTTAGAGAGACATTATGAGGACATAATGAGAGTGCAGCTCCATCAGAGTGAGAGTGCAGCTCCGTCAGAGTGAGAGTGCAGCTCCGTGAGAGTGCAGCTCCATCAGAGTGAGAGTGCAGCTCCGTCAGAGTGAGAGTGCAGCTCCGTCAGAGTGAGAGTGCAGCTCCATCAGAGTGAGAGTGCAGCTCCATCAGTGTGAGAGTGCAGCTCCATCAGAGTGAGAGTGCAGCTCCATCAGAGTGAGAGTGCAGCTCCATCAGAGTGAGAGTGCAGCTCCATCAGAGTGAGAGTGCAGCTCCGTCAGTGTGTGAGTGCAGCTCCTTCAACGCGTACAAACTGTGTTTGTTAAACTCAGAGGCGGAGTAGAGGGATACAGTCCATTCTAAGTGTTGTGTATGTGTGTGCGCTCAGTGTTTGTTCATCAGGTTGGTGTGTTCAGTTCTACAGTCAACAGTTTGATGTTTTCTACTGATGTCGGCACATTTCAATCTGTGTGCTCTTATTCTCTAATTTGGATTATTTTCTGCACAAACAGAACGACACACTCAGCGTTTTATTTCCCTTTAATGAGCTTTATTATTGTTACACACACACACTTTACCAACTGTGCTGGTTTAAACCCACAGCAACACCCACACACACACACTTTACCGACTGTGCTGGTTTAAACCCACAGCAGCACACACACACACACACACACACACACACACACACACACACACACACACACACACACACACACACACACACACACACACACACACACAGTGCAGGTACAGGTGCATTTTCTGGGCGTGTGCGGCAGGTAAACGAGTGTTAGCGGGTGTGAACGCAGCCTCTCATCCCCAGACGGCTCGTTAAATTTAGAGCTGCGCTCACTGTTTGTCTGCAGCACATGTACCAGTGTTTGTTCTGTTTGAAGGCTGTTTGTGTCGAGATGAGGAGATCTCTCTCACACACACACACACACACACACACACACACACACACACACACACACACACACACACACACACACACACACACACACACAATGTTGTTATGTAAGCAGAAGTGAAGTTCAGGTCGCTCATGGTTTGAAACTCTTACAGGCTCATTTTAATTGATGGAGCAAAACACAGAATATTGGTCCTGTCTTTGTTATACACACACACACACACACACACACACACACACACACACACACACACACACACACACACACACTATAGTGACTCGTTTAACACATTTCAATCCTTTAAGAATCACTGTGACGTCTCCTGATTCATCGTCTTTGCAGACACCAGGTTGTTTAGTAGTTCCAGAGGTGATCATATTTGGAAAACTGGGCGGAGCTGGAGAGGAGTGAGGGTCAGCTCCTCCCACTTTTCCAAAACTTGCCAACGTATTGCGACACTTCTCTCTCCCAGTGAAGTTTGCAGAGCTTTTGGATAGCAGCGATCATTAGAATAATAATAGATGATATCGCTGTTAACGTGTTGCATCATGAAGTAAATCAAAAGTAGGAATTGTGATGATCTATTTGCGTCGTGATTATAAAGATGAATAAACAAACCAGTCGGAACAAGTCACATGATCAGCTTCATAATAAACTTCTCTTCTCCATTTCCCGCAGAGAGAAACACTTTGTCCCTCTGAACATTTAGAAACGTTTTTTTCCCCACAGGCCCTGAACGCGTCCCACCATCTGCTGCCTCCTGGACTCTTTATGAACACATTACCTTTCATGTGAAGTATTCTGGGCGAGGGTTGGACTCTGTTTAGAGCGGTGCTGTTTATAAAGAGATAAATGATGAGGGATCCGACCTGCAGTCAGCCTGTGTGAGCGAGGACTCTTCTAACTCTGTTTCTGCAGACATTGTAGAGTTCACTGTGTTTCTGCAGACATTGTAGAGTTCACTGTGTTTCTGCAGACATGTAGAGTTCACTGTTTCTGCAGACTGTTTCTGCAGACATGTAGAGTTCACTGTGTTTCTGCAGACATGTAGAGTTCACTGTGTTTCTGCAGACTGTTTCTGCAGACATGTAGAGTTCACTGTGTTTCTGCAGACATGTAGAGTTCACTGTGTTTCTGCAGACATGTAGAGTTCACTGTGTTTCTGCAGACATGTAGAGTTCACTGTGTTTCTGCAGACATGTAGAGTTCACTGTGTTTCTGCAGACTGTTTCTGCAGACATGTAGAGTTCACTGTGTTTCTGCAGACATGTAGAGTTCACTGCAGTCTGCTTATTAGCCACCCGGGTCTTTACTGCAGCCACATCAATCACACAACACGACATCATCATCTTCATGGTGACAGATTGTGTTCATGTGGAGACGAGATGATTATGCTGCTCCTTCTCCTCCTCCTCCTTATCCTCCCTTGTCTCCTTCTCATCATCCTCCTCCACTCTGTTGAGTAAATACAAACGGTTAATTTCCTCTGTGAGACATCATGGTGATCATGCTGATGATTGTTTTCATGTGGAGACGAGATGCAGACTCTGCTCCTCCTTCCTCGTCTTCTCCTCTTCCTCCCAGGTCTCCTTCTTGTCTTCCTCCTCCCTCGTCTTCTGCTCCTCCTCCCTTGTCTCCTCTTCCTCCCTTGTCCTCTCCTCCGTCTCCTCCTCCTCCCTTGTCTTCTCCTCCTCTTCCTCCTCCCTTGTCTCCTCCTCCTCCCTCGTCTTCTCCTCCTCTTCCTCCCTTGTCTCTTCCTCCTCCCTCGTCTCCTCTGTCTCCTCCCTCGTCTTCTGCTCCTCTTCCTCCCTTGTCTCCTCCTCCTCCCTCATCTCCTCCTCTTCCTCCCTTATCATCTCCTCCTCCTCCTTGTCTCCTCCTCCTCCCTCGTCTTCTCCTCCTCTTCCTCCCTTGTCTCTTCCTCTCCCTCGTCTCCTCTGTCTCCTCCTCGTCTTCTGCTCCTCTTCCTCCCTTGTCTCCTCCTCCTCCCTCATCTCCTCCTCTTCCTCCCTTATCATCTCCTCCTCCCTTGTCTCCTCCTCCTCCCTCGTCTCCTCCTCTGCCTCCCTCGTCTCCTCTGTCTCCTCCCTCGTCTTCTGCTCCTCTTCCTCCCTTGTCTCTTCTCCTCCCTCGTCTCCTCCCTGTCCTCATTGTGTTGAGTGATTAAAACCATTTCATTTCTTGTGAGTGACTCAGCAGATTTTCATCACGAGTCATGAAGAGAAAAAAGAAAGTTGTGTAACACCTGCTCAGTTTCCTAATCTGATAGAGAGAGAGAGTTACCTGGGCGAGCACGTCTCTAACCTGTTAGAACACAACTCTGGATGTTTTTTTTTCCTCACACACACACACACACACACACACACACACACACACACAGTAAACATGAGCAACTTCCTGTGTCAGGTGTGTCAGTTGGTTACCTGCAGGGTGACCTACATCAGGTGTGACGTCCATGTTTTAATCATTATTTTGTATCATCAGCTGCAATCCAACATTCCTCTGAGACTCATCATGTCCGACATGTTGACACAGCTTTAATGAAGCTTTAATTTAAGCTCTTTATGATATATATATATATATATATATATAAGTACAGAAGCCCTGAGGGGACATTTTAATTAAAGGAGCAGTATGTAACTCTGACATCTACTGTTTAAAACGGGTACTGCAGTCTGAATTCTAAACATTATAGAGAGCTGCCCCCCCCCCCTTTCCTGGAGTCGATGCTCACACAGGTCACCATGTGGTGGACAATGTGGTTTATCCAGCTATCTGTAAACCTTTCTGCGTTCTAACCTCTCTCCATTTTTTAAAAGCATCTCCAATAATCACTTCTATCTGAACCAGTTCTCTTGCCCCACACTCCATGTTGGGTCATTTCTTGTTTTTAAAAGGAAACTTGTGCACAATGTGGGAGGAGCCGGAGCTGAGCGAGGGTATCATTTGATTCTCTGTGAAGCTTCAGGAGGTTAAACTAATTTAAAGACATACTCTGGATGTTCACTTTGATTCATTGATCTCTCTCTCTCTCTCTCTCTCTCTCTCTCTCTCTCGTTTCTCCATTAGTCATCCCAAACACACTCAGAGTCTCCCCTCTGGCCCCGGCCCCTGTGGTCCCAGAAGGAAGTGACATCATCCTGTCGTGTAACGTGACCCGGGAGCTGACCCAGCCCACGTACCTGTCCGTCACCTGGTCGGTGAAGAGGGGGTCGACCTCCGAGGACATCCTGGTGTTTGGACCTCAGGGAGACGTAGCGGTCGGGCCCAAGTACGCCCGCAGGTACGCCGACGGAGGAATCCGGTTGGTTCCCGGGAAGAACGGCGTGTTCGAGCTGGTGGTTACCAGGGCAACGCCATCGGACGACGGGTTGTATGAGTGTAACGGGACGGAGTGGACGCACGAGGACGGAGGACGCTGGGTGAAGATCGTGCAGAGTGCGAGAGAGATGGGGACGGTGGCGGTCACGCCCACAGGTGAGCTAGCATGTTAGCGTATTAGCACGTAGACGATCCACTGATAACAGAATAATGTTTCTATTTTAGTTTTCAAAAAAGTTCTTCCTGGGAGCAGCACGAACAGAACTCGGGAGTTGCCTTTGTTGTAGTAGTCCACCTCCTCGCTCATGGCTGTCAACTGGAAGCGTACTGAGCATGTGTGAAGAAATCTGTTTTCAGAAGAACTGAGTGACGGTTTCCATGACGAGTGAGACGTTGATATTTTCAGAAGTTTCCGTCTGCAGGCCCCCAAAACGCCAGCCTGAGGGAACAACGAGCTGGCATGGATAGAGAGGAGGAGGGGGAGGAGGGAGGACGTGGGAGAGGTCTCAGTGTGTGTGTGTGTGTGTGTGTGTGTGTGTGTGTCTGTCTAAACCTTCTCTCTCTGTATTTGCTGTGGTAGCTCTGGATCTTGATTTCTTCTTCTTTGTGTCTCTTCATATTGACTGTGTGTGTGTGTGCGTGCAGAGTAAAGAGGATGACAAAAGTCAAACAGAGCAGTCTTTGTGTCTTTTGTCCTCTCTGAGACACCGTACAGTGGTCGTTCCAGGAGACAGGTAGTAATGTGAGCCGAGGTCTGAAGACAAACACACCGTGATAGATGTTTTGATGAGATTTAGGCTTTTTTATTCTCCCAGTGAATATGTCTCCTGAGAATCTCCTCTCTCCTCCTGTTCACTATCACATCACTTTAAACTCCTCAGGATCTCCTCTCTCTCTCTCTTCCTGTTCACTATCACATCACTTTAAACTCCTCAGGATCTCCTCTCTCTCTCCTCCTGTTCACCATCACTTATCACTTTAAACTCCTCAGGATCTCCTCTCTCTCTCCTCCTGTTCACTATCACATCACTTATCACTTTAAACTCCTCAGGATCTCCTCTCTCTCTCTCTTCCTGTTCACTATCACATCACTTTAAACTCCTCAGGATCTCCTCCCTCTCTCTCCTCCTGTTCACTATCACATCACTTATCACTTTAAACTCCTCAGGATCTCCTCTCTCTCTCCTCCTGTTCACCATCACATCACCAGGCTGGGAAAGGGGCGGGGCTTTAAATGTGGATGGAACTTGAAGTTTTACGGTATCTTCTTTAATTAAATGATGTCGTTAGCTGTTAGCTCGTTAACCAGTTAGTATGTTCCTCTCAGTAGATGCAGCTGTTTCATTAGCTTAGCGTTACTGTAGCACAGTGAACCGCTCACAGTCCATTATGAGGAAGTAATGCACACCCAGCAGCCAATCAGAACTCAGGATTCCTCCTGATGATGGTTTAATACTCATTAACCCTTTGTGTGTCTGTTTCCCCCTCAGGTCAGTCCCTCAGCGTGAAGATCTCCCCCTCCTCCCCCTCTCTACTCCTCACACCAGGCAACACCCTCACCCTCCTTTGCTCCGTCGCCGCCGACAACCTCGCCGCCCTCTCTCTTGAGGTCACATGGCTGGTGGACAATCGCGACATCATCACCATGGATCACAGCGGCGTGGTGATCTCCAACACATCCGCTTCGTCCTCCTCCTCCTCCTCCCCGGCCGGGGGAGCACAAGGAAGGAGGGGGGAGTCCAGCCTGGAGCGCATCCGAGTGGGGGACTACAGGCTGGGGGTGAGGGGGGTGAGCGGCGAGGACGGCGGAGTGTACGCCTGCAGGGTCAGAGCCTTTGTGGAGAAAGGAGGGCGGAGCTCCGGAGGAGGCGGGAGGTGGCACATGGCGGCGGAGAAGACGTCGAGCGTGGTGACGGTGAAGGTGGCGCAGATCAGTGAGTGTGAAGTTTCTTCTTTGTTTTATTAAAATTTTATAATTAACTTTAATCAAAAACACGTTTTAAATGACACAAGTAGGTTGACAGCTCGTAAAAGAGGGAGGAGCAGCAGAGGAGCGAGGGTTAGTTGTCAACTTCTTGTACAGGAGGTTGCTGCAGGTTTGGAGAATTGTTGTACAGGAGGTTGCTCTTCTCTGTCCTTTTGTGATGTTTTAATAAAGTTTGATGACTTTGAACGACGAGGGATCTCGGTGAGGTCGTATGACGTGTACGGTGGGTTTAAAAAGGGTGTCGAAGTGTCGGCATTCTTCTGTAGTTTTCTGACGCGCAACGGCATCTCAAAGTGAAACTCTTTAATCCTCTGCTCGGCCTGTCTGCTCACACTGCGAGGACGATTGATTAGTAATGCCTGTCCTGTGCTCTGAGTGTGTGTTTGTGTGTGTGTGTGTATCCTCTAAAGAGCAGAGCTGTCACACACACAAAGTGGAGTCAGCGTTCTCTCTGACCTGGAGCTCTCTCTCTCTCTCTTTGAGTGTCCGTCACTTTGTTATTCTTCAGTTTAAACTTCACATCATGTTTCTATCTCTCTAAAGCTGTTTCCACACACACACACACACACACACACACACACACACACACACACACACACACACACACGCACACACACACACACTATCCTGAACATGTCTAGATGACATCAGGAGGACTGCTCCAGATATTCTCCTGACCTGGCTGTTCACACATGCTCCTCACAGCGGGAGACTATGCCTGTCAGACAGGAGGGGCGGGGGATGTCACACCAAGGAGATCGTCAGCTGTCGGTCCTAGTCGGTGAAACGGATGAGATGGACTTTGATGAATAAATAAACAGCAGTTACATAAATCTTCTCCTCACATGCTGGAATGTTTTCGAAAGCTGCCGGGAGTCACTGACACCAGCCTCTCCTCGCAGCTGATTCATGAAAACACAGACGCCGGGACGGATTCTTTTAGAGGATTGAAAAGTCAACTTAAAGAGACAGCAGCCATGAGCGTCTGTACGATGCTGTAAAAGCTGCTCTGTAGGTTTCACACACTGAGGAGGAAATCTGAGGAGCATTCACATTTCAGAAAAGTTTGACTCATTCTGACGTGAGGAGGAAATCTAAAGTCGTTCAAAGTATTTATTGGACATGAAAGTGTTAAATCCACAAACAGACAGAGAGAGAGAGAATCAGAGTTTAAACAAGGTCAGAGGTCATGGTTGTCTTTGTGTGATTGACAGGTGTTATCGTGTCTCTACATCTCTGCTTTTTATTTTCATACTTCCTGTTCTTTATGTTTGCATGGACTTCCTGTCCTGCAGCTTCCTCCTCTGTTTTTTTTTTTTTTTAAATGAATATCCCCCCCCCTCCAGGGTATAGTCTCCCGCTGTGAGGCGCGTGTGTGAACAGCGAGGTCAGGAGGATTTCAGGAGAAGTGTCCTGGAGTGTAAATGTGTGAAAACGGCGTTACAGAGAAACTCAAACTATGAGTTATTCAGGACCAATAAGGGCCCCTTCCTCCATCAGGGCCCCACTTTACCCCCCTCTACTACGTGTGTGTGCGCGTGCGTGCGTGCGTGTGCGCGTGCGTGCATGTGTGCTTGCGCGTGCGTGCGTGTGTGCTTGCGCGCGCGCATGTGTGTAAAACGTAGGTTTGTCGAAGTCTTTCACCATAGAGACTAAATGCTTCAAACACTGTCTTTATGTGTGTGAGTGAAGGAATGTGTATCCCCGGGCTAAAACTGTAGGAGCTCCTCTGTGAGAACAGTCTCATCCTCTCAGTGTGTGAGACACACACACACACTTCAAATTGACTATCACTCACATATTTCATCCTTGTTCGACTCCAGTATGAGCCACAACTCAGTGTGTGTGTGTGTGTGTGTGTGTGTGTGTGCGCGTGTGTCAGCTCCTATTGTATTGATGTGTGGCCTTGAGGTTGCTCGCTCTTCCCACGATGCTTTGCTACCAGCAGAACCCAGCAGGAAGTACAAACTGAGTCCAGAAAAAAGTTGTTTAGGAGTTCTTCAAGGCAGGAACACACACACACACAGAGCGCACCCACACACACAAAGAACACACACTCACAGCGCACACACACACCCACACTCACAGCGCACACACACCCACACCCACACTCACAGCGCACACACACACACACTCACAGCGCACACACACACACACACCCACACTCACAGAGCACACACACACACCCACACTCACAGAGCACACACACACACCCACACTCACAGAGCACACACCCACACTCACAGAGCGCACACACCCACACTCACAGAGTGCACACACCCACACTCACAGAGCGCACACACACACACTCACAGAGCGCACACACACACACTCACAGAGCACACACAAACACACTTTGTTTTTCTGTGCAGACTCTGGACTGTGACTCTGAGATGCTAACAGGCTCATGTAGCTGGTCCAGGCCAGTCCTGGACTAAGGATTACATATAGCCTGGAACAGATCAGTGATGGGGTTAAACTCAAATGTGGACCAATGAGCGCCCAAAACACAAAACAAAATGTTCAACGTTAGCATGTCGAGCTCTCTCTGTTGGGCAGTGTCCACCTGCAGACTCCATCCTGCCGCTTTTCACGCTGACTCACACGTTATGTGATCAGTGTTTCTAATTCAGCCTTCATATATCAGCTGCACACGGAGCCTGCAAGGAATGCATGGCACCAATATTGACTTAACATCTGCTGAGCTGTAGCACGTAGCATGGAGAATGTAGCATGTAGCACGTCTGTAGCCTGTTCACTGTTTGATCTCTAAAATGTGAAACAACACTGTGTGTGTGTGTGTGTGTGGTGTGTGTGTGTGTGTGTGTTGTGTGTGTGGTGTGTGTGTGTGTGTGTGTGTGTGTGTGTGGTGTGTGTGTGTGTGTGGTGTGGTGTGTGTGGTGTGTGTGTGTGGTGTGTGTGGTGTGTGTGTGTGTGTGTGTGTGTGTGTGTGTGTGTGTGTGTGTGTGTGTGTGTGTGTGTGTGTGTGTGTGTGTGTGGTGTGTGTGTGTGGTGTGTGTGTGTGTGTGTGTGTGTGTGTTGTGTGTGTGTGTGTGTGTGTGTGTGTGTGTGTGTGTGTGTGTGTGTGTGTGTGTGTGTTGCAGTGACAGATGGCTGTAATCTTTCTGCACACAGAGTAATCAGACTACATGTTGTTTCAGCTCAGTACTGTGGGGAAGAATGTGTTCAGAGAGAGAGAGTGCCCAGAAACACAGACACAAACATGCACACACAGGTCCAGCTTCCTCTCTACCTGTCTGACACAGGCTATTGTGATGACTCACAGCTCACCTGAGGCTGACACTCTACCTGTCAGCTTCAGTCACAGTCTGAGTACATGTTTACATCACAATGTAAACGTTATGAGTCTATTAGAACGTAGTAAACAGTTTGTGTTGGAGAATAGTCAGGATGATGGTGTTGGAGGCCGAGCTGAAGTCCACAAACAGGATCGTAGCGTAGCTCCCATGGGGAGTCGAGGTGATGCAGGATGTAGTTCAGACCCATGTTGACTGCATCCTCCACTGACCTGTTGGCCCAGTGGGCAAACTGCAGGCGGTCCAGCAGAGTTAAAGTCAGGTGTAGGACCAGGCCACGCCTCCTGTCAATCACTTTTAGGTTTCCAAACATGAGACACACACACACACAGAGGAAGAAGAGACACACACACACACAGAGGAAGAAGACACACACTGTTTATAACAGTGAACACATGCAGGAGGCTGATAAAAGACGCTCACTGTGTTTTTGACATTGACCTATTTACTGCAACTCTTTCTCCTGGAGACACACACACTAAAACACTTCCTGCTCTGATAAACTTTAAAACAGAAGAAGAAAAAACACCATGATCAGGAGGTGATGAGATGTCTTCCTCCTCATCCCTCTCGTCCTCATCCCTCTCCTCCTCATCTCTCTCCTCATCCTCATCCTTCTCCTTGTCCTCATCTCTCTCCTCCTCATCCTCATCCTACTTCTCCTCATCCTCATCCCTCTCCTCATCCTCATCCCTCTCCTCGTCCTCATCTCTCTCCTCATCTCTCTCCTCATCCTCATCACTCTCCTCCTCATCTTCATCCCACTCCTCCTCATCCCTCTCATCCTCATCCCTCTCCTCCTCAT